GTCAAATCACTTCCCTCACCAACAGCTGGCTGCTTTGTGGGCATTGCTAAAACACACAGGTTGAGGCTTAAAAAGAGAAAGTGTGTGCAGAGATAAAGGCCAGTTCTAAACCCCCAAAGCAGCCTAATACTGTTTAAACATTTAACAAAATCATCTGATGGTACAACATTTTATCAACCGTGTCTTTCACTCATTGTGCTTTCCAGTGTTAAATCACACTGTGTGACTGTGGGCGAGACACAATCAGTTACTGTGCCACACATCAACAATCTGATTGGTTGCCACTTAATCAATTTGTATAAAATTCATCAAGAATGAGAGAATAAAGAGATGATCAGGGCATCGGTGGTCTAAATGACCATTAAAATGAGAGACATCACAAAATATTCACTCATAAGACCTCACTATTTCTATCAGCTCAGTTACTGTGGAGTATTATATGTAGCTTATCATTTTCACAGGTTTTCAAATGCAGCATAACACATGCTTGCAACTGAACTAGCATGTTTATTGGTTTTTAGTGATATTTGAGCGAAACAGATTATTCCAGATTGAAAAGACTGTGAGATCTAAGAGTGATATGATGGTAGAGCCCAGGGTTTCAGTGTGTGGATATGATGTTAAACAGCTACTGAAAACAGACAGATTTGGTTCTACAATCTGATCAATTGAGCCACAAGAGGCCATGTGTTACAATGATTTTGTCACAGGTTTGGTGTGTAATTATACAGGACACAAAGTTAAATTATACACACCTGTGACGGTCACATGTGAAATGCTGACCGGTGTGTTGTCCTTCTCCTGTACGGTGTAGATCCCGCTGTCTGAAGGCAGCACTTCCACCAGAATGAAGGTGTTTTTAACGATGAGGACTCTGGGCTGATATTCACGAAGACACTGATACTGACGTCCATCCACACTGCACAGCTGGACTGTGGAGGGCGTATCAGGCCTTGTGACCATTATGACCACTGGCTGGGAAATCTGCAGATCCAGTTCAAGGCATTCTCCAGCATCCAGCTCAAGATCAAGAGAAATAAATAAATACATAAATAAATAAATAAATAAATAATAATAATAATAATAATAATAATAATAATAGTAAGATTTGCATCCAAATGTAGGTATTGTGATATAAACTGAGTCTGTTCTACAGTTTCTCATTAGGCTGAATGAATAACTGACTCTAAATGTAGGTATTGTGATATAAACTGAGTCTGTTCTACAGTTTCTCATTAGGTTGAATGAATAACTGACTCTAAATGTAGGTATTGCTAAACTCAACAGTAGCTATGAAAAAACATCTGTGGGCGGAGCCTGGAATGATTGACCTGTTAACTTCATTTGTACTCACGAAGAAGATGGAGGAGCTGTTGACTATCAAACATCTCTTCCCCATCGCAGTAGGTCGAGTAGAGGCCTCTGGTAGAGTGGTTGACCTGAGGAATGGTCAGTATGCTTTGTCCTTTATTTACTGTGCAGGTGAACTTGAAACCCGTTTTAGCACCAGGACCACACTCAGCCACCTCCTCATCATTCCTCCGCCACTGGGTCACAGCTGGGCATGAGATGTTGCAGTAGAGGTCAGCGGGGTCATTGGGCTTCGCCCGCGTGATTGGGAATGAGGCAGAACTGAACACGGGCCCTGCAGCAGAAGGACATGTGGTCATTACCACACAGTTTTCACTCAGAGAGCCACTGCTGATACGAGGATCAGTCATACGTACCATAGAGGAGTCCTAGAAACAGCCCCAGAGAGGCCGTCCACAGACACTTAGTGACCGACATCTGTAAAGACAACAACATGAGAAACAGGACAGATGAGGAGAAACTCACACCAGCCAGGTAGGTTATCTAGTCCCCCTGTGACAGGTCAGGTCCAGAGGTGGACAGGAATTAATCCCACTTACTCTGCTCTGTGTACTGAAGCACAGTCTGGATGTTCTTTTCTGAGGACTGTTAAAGAACATTTCTACATGACACCCACTAAAGAGACAATTATACACTGAGACTCCTCTATAATAAATGTATAATAAATCAGCTTCTGTGTCTAAAAATAATCCCTATAGTGTGAGGGATAGTGAAACACCTGTCCTAGCTAAGACAAGCAAAGACCTGTTCTAACAACTTGTCCTACCAAGCAGGCGCAGATGGTTACTACAGCACAATAACTTGTGTTTTTAATATTAATTCAGCCTTAAGTCTGTCGTACAAACCAAGCCTAATATAACTACCTCCCCCCTGATAAAGTGATTTAGGCTATCAAAATATCCTACTTATTCTTTTACTGCTACTGCTGTTTTCTGATAAGGTGGGTTGACGCACTTCAATGCACAGCGGTCTTGGGTTACAGTCTGTTGGTGTCTGCCACCAACCTCTTTTCAGTGATAGGCCACCGCAGGTCCTTCCTGCTGCTGTTAGACTGTAGAACCTACCCCGGCTCCGAGTCTCGGCGGATGTATACACCTGGAGCGCCGAAGAAGTCCCTAAACAGAGGCGGAGAATAAAGCTGCGGTGCCGCGGCTCCGAGTCTCGGCGGATGTATACACCTGGAGCGCTGCTGAAGTCCCTAAACAGAGGCGGAGAGTAAAGCTGCGGTGCCGCGGCTCCGAATCTCGGCGGATGTATACATCTGGTGCCGCGGCTCCGAATCTCGGCGGATGTATACACCTGGAGCGCTGCTGAAGTTCCTAAACAGAGGCGGAGAGTAAAGCTGCAGAAATTTGTTCGTCAGCTTCAAACAGCTAACAACACAATTACTTTAATCGTACGTGGTGACTAAATAATTTGTTATTAAAATACAAAAACATTTAATTAGTAACATCCTCAGTCCTGTTTTGAAAACATTATCATCAAACACGTTCTCTGTTATGTACTAAATAACACAAAACACTAATTATAGTTTTGTTTACCGGGAAACATTCAGTGTCCAGTATACTGGACATTTGGACTGGTGAAATTAAATGTGAGAGTTTCTGAAAAATGAATGCGTTTGTTATCACCAACATACGACACAAATCAAACACTGAACTTTTCCTTTATTTACTTGATGTACAGCTGCATGAACAGCTCCTAAAATATTAAATCATATTTTTCATAATCACAATAATAAACAGAGCTTTTATCACAAAGCGTATGCCCTAATTTACATTACTATATCTAAAACAAATGGTTGAACCACTCGAGATCATTGATTAAAAGATAATAATACAGTGCATAACATACATTACATACATTTTATAGACTGGAGTCGCAGACAGAAATAAAACTTATGTGTTTCAGTAGTAACATTTCTGAAACTCGGGAAATATTTAATTTTTTGTTTGTGTTATGATGATAAATATCTTAATTTTTCAAAATCTTGCAGATTTAATATGCCTAATTCCAGTGTCCAGTATACAAAAACAATATTATCCCCAAATTTATAGATCATCTACTGCCACTCATCTAATGTCCACTCCTAATGTCCAATACACATAAGATTCTACTTTTAAAAAAATAAACTAAAATCTTCAATGACTGTATTTTGTAATGCAGACGAGTATCATACCAAACAAAGCATAAAACGTTCAAATGTCCAGATTACTGGACATTAAACTTTACCTCAAAATGTGTGTATGTACAAACAAATACCTAGTATTTCCTGTTTTATCCTTTAAAATAGGGAACTTCTAGAAGGACATACATAAAGAAACACTTCTGAAATAAATACAGAATAATTTAGAAGCAGTGTTTCATTTAGTCTCAGTTTGTTTTTGTTTAATCACAAAAAAGAAAACATTCTTTTAAATGATCAAAGACTGAGTTCTGTAGAAGTGAGTTAGAGTTAGAACACCTGGGGGAGAATGTCCGGTATACTGGCCGTTTGGAACGAGGAGGATGATATAAAGAGTGAACCAGAGAGAAATGAGAACTACAGCATGTTGTTCAGGCCCCACTGAAAGTTTGGTTGTCCTCAGAATAAGGGGACTTTAATATAATATTTTACTGTACAAAAAAGGTGTGCATACCTTCACTATAGTATACCTATATAGTATATAGTATAGTACACCTATATGGTATATAGTATACCTATAGGTGGCCAATTAAACTCGCCAGTCTCGTGAGAATTCGAGTAACAACATTTGTGTAATCCTCATGGCCCAAACTGAATCAGGACTTTCATAACTGAACTCTGTATGCGGTTGGGGAAATTATGACTTCCTATACAAAGCGGTTTTAACCACAGACCAGAGGGTCAACTTAAGACCAAAGACAATAACTCACGATACAGGAAATAACGTGTGCATATACAAATACGTAAACTGCTCGTCTGTCCTGTCAAGCTTTGAAGTTAGTGTTTGACAGAAGCCTCTACAGGAGCCAGTTTAATAAATTAAAATAAAAACAAACTTTTAAAGTGTGCAGAACTGAATGCTTGAGATGTAAACAAAGTCATTCAGAGTGGTTTGGTGTGAAACGCGCTGTTCTAGAGAAACTCACAGAGTCAGAACTGTTCACAGTGGTGGTGATAGGAACCAGACGTCCACCTCTAAAAGCTCCCTCACAGAAAGTTACTACATGAAATGGTTATGAAGTCACTGCCTGATGCCTGAGACACTGTTTTACGACTGTTTTACACGAAGACTCGTGTAGGTCACTGGTGGTTTTGGATAGTAAATAAAATGTCTATATTTGTGTTGTAGTCATGGCGACCAGTGGTTCCTATCACCACCACTGTAAAGAAATCTGAACCATTTCACACCAAACCACCCTGAATCACTCTGTTTACATCTCACACACTGAATTATGGAGAAGTTTTGAAAAATCACTGAAATCCCTCCTGGAAAATATTTTTCACACCAGCATTCACTGACTCAACTCCACCGTCAGTGTTCAGAGGGTCAGTGGTCAGTCTCTGAGTGACCTGCTCTCCTGCTGAGGTCAGAGTTTCATCACTCTGCACTGCCCTGATCTCCACCAGTCTGCTTCTGCTTCTTACTCTGTGGAGGCTCCATTTTGGCCTTTTTGTTTGGAGGCTGAGCCTCAGACTGCTCTCCTCCTTGTCCTTTCCTCTTCTTGTTCTTCTTCCCTCCTTTCACACCTCCTGCTGTGGTTTCCGTGGTTGGGTTTCCTAAGAAGAGACATAGGAGATCAGGTTTCATAACCATTCATTCATAAACAGATATTCGGAGTGGTTCAGATTGAATCTGGCGGTCAGATGATAAGACTCTGGATCTGGTTTATCACTCTGTCCACAGATTTATCATCTTCCGATTCACACAGTACTCATCATTTGTACTCTGTACGCTAAAGCTATAAGGGGAACTACCAGACACAAACTCAAAAACATAATTTGCAAAATTATGTACATTTATCATTAATATACTACAGATGGTCTGGTGCACTGAGCACACTGCCATTCGGTGTAAAACTCAGCTGTTAGTGATGTAAAGCAGTGGTTCTCAAACCGTTCCTCAGGGCCCACCAGACAGTCCACATTTTTGCTCTGTTCCAAGTGCTGTGTGTTGGATTGGAGCAAATATGTGGACCACCTGAAATCACTGAGAACTGTTTTGAGAACCACTGATGTAAAAAAAAAAAAAAAGCTAAACTTTGATTAAGTATAATCTGTGTAAGAAATACTACAGTAGATGTGTATTCTTAGTATAGGGGCTTATATATGTGGGTGTAGGACATACAGCTGTAATCTGGTTAACACCACTTGTGTTGCTAATATGCTTTTATGACTCAGACTGAAAGTCTAAGTGAGTACAGTTTCATGTATGGAACTCACTGAATGCCGAAGAGTCTCATGACGCTCCAGTACGTGTCCTCCAGCTGTCCAGCCTTCTGCAGGCTCCCATCAGCGTTCATGGACCTCAGAACATCCTGGAGAGGATCCAGATTCACCTCCACCTTCTGCTCAGAACAAGACATTTTCAGCTTTACCACCTGATTTAAAAATCTACATAGTTCAGCATTTGGGGCTACAGTCAGTTACGCTTGAGTAAAACAAAGTGGACGGTGGTCATTTGGACAGGGTTTGAGGATTGCTGTGAGGGGAAAGTGGTGATTCTGTACCTGTGTGTGAACGGTTTTGACCAGGTACTGGCAGAGCTCCAGAGCTTTCACTGTTCTCTCATGCACAGCTTTGTTCTTGCACTCCACATGCTGCAGACACTGGAAGAGAAAGAGAAAACAGTCAGTTCAGCTCTTCCTCTCCCACTTACACTGATCAGCCATAACATTCTGACCACCTCCTTGTTTCTACGCTCATTGTCCATTTTTTCAGCTCCACTTACTATATAGGTGCACTTTGTAGTTCTACAGTTACAGACTGTAGTCCATCTGTTTCTCTGATACTTTGTTAGCCCCCTTTAACCCTGTTCTTCAGTGGTCAGGACCCCCATGGACCCTCACAGAGCAGGTACTATTTGGGTGGTGGATCATTCTCAGCACTGCAGTAACACTGACGGTGGTGGTGTGTTAGTGTGTGTTGCACTGGTCTGAGTGGAACAGACACAGCAGTGCTGCTGGAGTTTTTAAACACCTCAGTGTCACTGCTGGACTGAGAATAGTCCACCAACCAAAAATATCCAGACAACAGCGTCCTGTGGGCAGCGTCCTGTGGCCACTGGTGAAGGACTAGAAGATGACCAACACAAACTGTGCAGCAGCAGATGAGCAGATCGTCTCTGACTTTACATCTACAAGGTGGACCGACAAGGTAGGAGTGTCTAATAGAGCGGACAGTGAGTGGACACAGTGTTTAAAAATTCCAGCAGCACTGCTCTGGGCTCAGAGGCATCTGGGACCATCACACCATGGAAATATGTTCTGTAGTCAGATGAATCAGTATTTCACATCTTTTTTAGAAGAAATGGACGCAGTGTGCTGCAGACCAAAGATGAAAAGGACCATCCAGACTGGAACCAGCAAGTCCCAAAGCCAGGGTCAGTCATGGTAAGAGGTTGTGTCCGTGCCCCTGGCAAAGATAACTTACACTGCTGTGATGGTGCCCTTGGTGCTGTGGAATTGAACCCCTCATGATAAAACCAATAATCATCCAGGCTTGTGTCTGGAGAATGAACTACATGCTGAACATTGGAAATGGCTGTGTTTATATAGGCCCACTCAGGCACATTGGCTCCTGGACCATTGCCAATATTAGAAAGCAAGACGTGTGATAGAAGTGACCATGTAGGGCATCGTCCTCAGAACATACATAGATAACACACATCACATACATATAGCGCAATCCTTTTTTTCAGAACCCAGACAATCACTGACCTGAAGATGTCTGCGGCTCTGCGCAGGAAGTCCACCTCCTGCTGACCGCTCTCAGAGCTCATTCCGTTCTCGATCACGCTGAGCAGAGGCTCCACCATCCCCAGAACCAGAGCACTGTTGCCCTGCTTGGTCAGGAACACCTCCACCAGGTCCAACACCTGCACACCTGCAGCTACCAGTTTATTCCAGCGCTGAGCAGCACAGTGTCTTTGGAAGCTGCTGTCCAGTGTGACTACCTGGATTAAATTAAATGACGTGTTGCATTGTAATTGGTACTTTATATGTGAAAAAAATCTATATCTTCTTTACCGTAGGGTAAAAAATTGTAAAAGGAAATGCATTAAAGATGGGCCTGTTATGGCAGCTTACTACAACAAGCAGAACCTAAACTACGTTTGTTGAATTATAACTAACATTATATATAGAAAACAAGTTCAACAGCTTCTTTACTGTGGGGCTCAAGATTGTAAAACTAAATACGTTAAAGCAGGAGTGCACAGCTCCAGTCCTGGAGCACAGCTTTCTTACATTTTTCTTTTTTTTTTTTACATACAATAATCAATATCTTCTTTACTGTTGGACCTACAATTGTGAAACCAAATGTATTACAGAGCTTATAGTTACAACATCCTACAGCAAGTAAAATCTGAATAAAGTCTTCAATTTTAAATTTTTCAATAGCTTCTTTACTGTAGAGCCCAAATTTGTTAAACCGAATGCAGTGAGGAGGACCCTATTATTACTAACTACCCATATTATTAATAACTACAGCAAGCAGCATTTAAAGAAAGCCTGGTGTTAAAAATTAATATATTAAACTTAAAAAACTAGCTTCTTTACTGTAGGACCAAAAACCAGATACATTAAAGACTGTTCCATCATTACAACAAGCAAATCTGAATAAACTCTAGTATTTAAATCTTATTAATATTTTCAGCATCATAAACTCAATAACCTCTTTACTCTAAAACCTGACACTGTAAATCCCAATGTGTTTGGATTGGACTCCCATGTTACTGCAGCTTCCTACAACATGTAGAATTTGAACAAAGAGCCTTTGATTTGAATGAATTCTCTAACCACAAGAAATTCAACAGCTTCTTCACTGTAAAGTCAACAGTTATGAAGCCAAATGCATTATAGACCATCCTATTATTTCCACATACTACAGCAAGCAGAATTTAAATAAATATTGTGTTTAAAGTTTCCAACTACAAAAAAAAAATCAACAGCATCTTTATGACCAATAAAAAACAACTTCCAAATAGTAGATTCGTTCATTATAGATTTTTTATAATTTAATATAATATAGATTACTATTATTCACAACTTTTTCAAAAAGTAGAGTGTGATGTGTCTTCTGTAATTTTATTACATTTTCTCCTTTTAAAATGAAGACGTAGAAGTATCTTCAGGCTGCCAAGTGGTGCAACATTCTAAGTAATAAAATGAAAATTAGAAAAATAAAATTAGAAACATTGTTTTTACACTGGTACAGCAACAATTAACCCAAAATTTACTTGACTATGATTGTGAGTTTACCACAAATATAGGTCAGCGACACATGTATCCCATGCCCTGCGATGGACTGGCGACCTGTCCAGGGTGTATCCTGCCTTCCGCTGGGATAAGCTCCAGCACCCCACCGCGACCCAGAAGGATAAGCGGTTTAGATGATTTATGTATGTATGTATGTATGTATCCCATCTCTGTTCTTAAGTTTACCTTTCAGTCAGTATTATTACAAATTATTATTACAAATAGAACCAAATTTGAGGTCCTGTTAGTCCTGAATTTTATTATTCACACACAAAAATTCAACACACCTTTACCGTTTTTGTATTATTACTTATACTTATAAATTTTTAACCATTCTTCATAAAAGTTTGTTACTGTGCTCTGTAATGGATTTGGTTTTAGAATTGTGTGGATCTCTGAACCTAAAGGTTCTGGAGAGGTTCTGTGTGGAGGAATGGCCTCATTTTTATCATGTGTTCTCGGTCTCATTAAACGTTATAGGAGAGACTCAGAGCTGATATCTCTGTGAAGGGAGACTCCACAAAGTATTAAATGAAGAGGTGCCAATAACTGTGGCACACATAGATGTTTATTTCATAATAAGATTTCAGCTTTTATTTCAATCACTGTACTTCAAATAAAAGGTTCGATTTTTATAATATTTTAAAGAGAAGATCAAATGTTTCTGCAGCATGCTTTGCTTATGTTTACCAGGGGTGCCAATATTTGTGGAGAGCACTGTGTACAAATACATATTCCTTTCATATCTGCAATGCCAGTTGCAGTGTCTGTTATGTGATCCCTGTTGAAAAAAATACATCAGAACCATTAGGATTAAAACCTGATGATTTTGCTTTCTAATGGGAATTTGGCTTAATGGTAACCATTAGAGACCACTAGATTCCCATAGGACACCTTTAGATCCCATTAGGAAACCATCAAATGCATCTGGAATCAGTCCTAGGTCACCTGTTAAACCATGTGATATGTGAATCACTGTGATATTAACCCAGCAAGTAAAGACAAAACACATTACTAAACCATCAGAACCCAAAAGAAACACTGAATGTTTTCTATGGGTTTTTCATGGATTTCCGCTGGAGTGAAAGTGTTGCTCTGCGGCTCTGTAGCCAGATATTCTTGTGGGGTCTGAGGAAGTACCCCGGGTTGAGAAATCAAGCCGCTGCTATGTTATTTGCTACATCACCTGTAAAATTCCCAGAACACCAAAAAACTCCCGTTAAGAAGGTAACAAAGTCACCCGGACTCACCTGAAGCACCTCCAAACTCTCCATGTGAGGAAACGACACAAACCTGAAACTGTGAGAATGGCTGTGCCTGTAAAACGCAGCAAAAGGTCTCAACATAAAAAGGTGACCGGGCGGCTACAGCGGCCCATCACTGGGAAATGGCGCCCGTGGTCCACCTGCAAGCAACCTGAATCAGCTCCGCCCAGTTCAGTCAGTGCCTACCGCTGATCACAGCAGGCGGGGTCACACCTCAGTTCAGGTAGGCTGGATTAATAAGGAAACAGCGCTGAAACTTCAACACCAAGGTTACCTCAGTCACTGATCACCCCTTACTGCAGTAACGGTGTCAAATCACCTGCTTTATCCACAACACATCACGTTTAAAACAGTCCCTCAGTTTCTTTAGTCAGATTTATTAAACAAGACGGTAAGAAATGATTTAAAACGATCTTTTCAAAATTAGTCACGCCCCCAAATTGTAATTCACAGACAGAAGCGACTGATTTACTGAATAAACTCTTATTTCTCCTCAGCGGTTCTGAAAAACTAATATAAACAGGAAGTCAGCCAGTGTTTTAACTAGTCGTTGTACCAGAAGCACTGAAGTAAGATTTTTTTCTCTGTTATTTTAAAATCAGTCACATGGCTAACCATCAGCAGCAGTGCCTGACCTGCACACCGGACACAGCGTCCAGAAATGAGACCCTCTGTTTTTAGTGAAGGTCCACAGTCGGTCAGTTCCTCCAGGCCTCGTTTCTCCATTACTGCACTCACTATAACCCCACATCTGACCAGTACAGGCAGCAGCCGGTCAGGGTTAGAAGCTGATCTTCACGTCAGTCAAAGCCACTATAATCACATTTCCATCTCCTACCTTTAAGCTGGAAAACAAGTCAGAGAACATGTTGAAGCTGAAACCAAACTATGTTTAGTAAAGTTGATCTTCAAAATGGTTCATTCCACTAAAGCCACACACGGCGATATATAATATTAATAAATGAATGCTGAAGTTAAGATGGGCTCTTCTGTGCTGGAGGTGCAGTAGGGAGACTGAGGACGGTTTCAGCAAGTCTCCAATCAGCAACATGTTACAGTGATGTCACTCATACTGCACATGCTCAGTTACGGTGTTGTGCATGAACGCGTTCAGTGAACACGCTCATTTACATTTAAGGTGTTTGGCAGACGCTCTTACCCAGAGCGACTTACAATTTGATCATTTTACACAGGTAGGCGAAGGTAGTGTTAGGAGTCTTGCCCAAGGCCTACAGTGTAGAAGGCAGAGGTGTTACCCACTACACTACACCAACCTCAGATTTTGGTGAACGTTGAACTGAACCAATCAGTTTACAAATAATGAACGTGAACGCGAGCGGCTTTCATTCGCGCGTCGCTGTACTTTCTAAACAGAGGAGGAGACTTGATAAATCTCCAGGTGCAGATGGTCTCACCTCAGAGTTTTACAAGGCATTTACTGAACAATTGGCACCCTTCCTCTTAAAATTCTTCTTAGAAAGTATTGAAAATGAGACCTCCTACTTTGACCCCAGGTCTTATAACCTTAATTCCTCAATCTCATAAAGACCACTTATTAATTGAAAATTGGCGACCAATTTGCCTTTTAAATAATGACTACAAAGGTTTTGCTTTGGTATTTTTGGTAAGAATTGCTTACCAAATTGTTTTGCTTTGGCTTTTTGGTAATTAAAGCTGCATTAGATCGTGTCATTGATGAGGCCCAGTCAGGTTTTTTTTTAAGAAACAGACACATTTCAAACAATATAAGACTGATGATATGATTTTGGCTTTAATTGATTACTCATATCTGTACCCCAATGATAGCCTCATTCTTTTCCTGGATTTCCCTCCAGAAATTTGGATTTGGTGAATTTTTCTGTAGAGCTATTAAAACCATGTATAAAAATGGAAACTGTTCAATTAAATTGAATTACAGAACTTCATCTAGGTTTTTTTTAAAACGTGGCATTAGACAAGGGTGCCCCATTGCTCCCTATCTTTTTCTTCTATGCGCGCAGCTTCTTAATGCTCATGTTGAAAAAAGTACCTTAAAAGGGATTTCAATGGGTAATAGAGAAATAAACAGCCAATTAGCAGATGACACCACACTTTTCCTAAAGGATACTCACGTATCCGTAGCAATAAAGATCATACAGGAATTTTCCAAGGCCTTTTTTTAAATCTCAATAAATGTGAACTTCTTGCAATTAAAGACAATTCAAATCTGTTATCATGAATAAAGTCATGATGTCTGGAGGACTACATTTTCTTGATTTTACTACCCTTAACAAGACTTTTAAAGTCAATTGGATTAAACAGTTCTTAAGTAAACCTTCCTCTATTTGGAATTTCATATCTCGTTATATTTTTCCCAAACTTGGTGGCCTCAGTTTCATTTTACTTTGTGATTATAAGATTGAAAAAAAATCCCCTTAAAATGATTTAACTTTCATCAGCAGGTTTTATTGGCTTGGTCTCTCATAAATAAACATAATTTTTCACCACATACATACTTTATGTAATAACTTTCTGTGAGGGAGCTTTTAGAGGTGGACATCTGGTTCCTATCACCACCACTGTGAACAATTCAGAAATGTAGAAAAATTGGTGGAGTTCCCCTTCATACTTGTGCAGTACTTGCTGTGAAAACAAATGAATACAGTATCATAGTTCTGTCTGAACAGGAATGAAACGTTCACTGCACTATGAAGAAGAAGGTACCTGATGTAAACAAGTAATAAAGCAAACCTTCAGTACAAAAACAGGAAATTAGAAAACTGCACTCAGAAATGAAGACAATTGAGACAATAAAAAAAAAGACAGAAGATTTAAAAGTCAAGACTTTATCAATTACCAAAAGATTTACATTCAGCACTGTACCTTCATTTTGTAATGTACTGTTATTGCTGTGCTCTCTGATGGTGCAGCTTTACAGACTTGGTGGTTAAAATCTCATTAATAAATGATTAAAAATCGAATAAACTCATTTGTAATTGTCCTGAGATCTCCAATACATCACAGCATGGACTCCTGAGTTTGGCAGAGGTGGAATATAGCGGAATTAGTAACCCTGTGATCAGTCGTGCCGTCATCAGCACACCTAAAACCACAACAACCACCACCACAACCTGACTAAAACAGACTGAAGAATCTTCAGGAGCCAGTGCAAAAATTCATCACTCAGTCAAAACTTGATCATCCTGCTCATTTTTAACAAAAGCTGTAATAAATGCCCTGTAAAAGTGGAATAAAGCTGATCTGATTTTCGGTCATTTACACATACAAACACATCACTTACTGTAACAATCTGAACTGGCACAAAATCAACTAACACTGCAGCAGTGCAGCTGTCAGAGCTTTGGCTCACAAGGCAAACATTGAATAAATATCCAGCATCTTCCATACAGTCATATACAAACAACAACAACAATAAAAAGATTTCAGAAACAGTCACTTACACAACAGCAGTGCATTTCTAGACTTTGGTACACCGAAGCAGCTGGAATGCTGGACGGTAAAGGCACAAAGCAGTGGCACAGTGCAAATTAGGACCTGACCGATATGATAATAAATCACTGAAACTGATTTTAAGGAGCTGAATATTCAGATACACAGTAACAGCCAAAATGATTTAGTTCTCCAAAACATTCCTGAAAGTGGTTTCCTTGTAGAACATTCAAAGAGACATGCCTGGTAAAGAGAACTTCCATCCATGATGGTGGTTTTGTGCTTCTGACCCTGTTTTCAGTAACATTTTTGATTCCTAAAAGTTTCTCGGCTCTGACCGTTGGTAAAAACGAAAACAACATGCAGCAACTAAAAACATCCACACAGTAATGCAATAGAAAAGTGTGCTAAACTGTAGGAGGCCATGCTCTGTTTCCCTGTTTAACCCTACTTTGTTAAAATGTCCTTTATTCATACTTCCTGTGTAGTCCTACATGTAATAAATTCAAATTATCCTTCATTTTCCCCTTTCTTAAAAGACATTTCATGTGAAATCTGTATAACATTGTCTCAAATGTTCTACAGGCTGTAAGTGAAAAAACTTGAAATATACATTATAAACATCCTTTTACTCTCAAAATACCTTTTCAAAAATACACATTTTTTCAATCAGTGAAATGACTAAATTCCTTCATAAGCACAATACAGCATGACAAAGTTCAGAAAGTCTCCAGCTTATCAGACAAAAGAACCATACAAAGATGCTACACTGACAGTAATCAGCACTGCTAGACACAGACCCAGGTACCAAAACTCTTCCAGTGAATAACCTATCAAGCCCTGCAAGACGCCAAGACTGAAGGAGAAAAGCAACAGAAGAAACAAGTCTGCTGCACACATGAGAAATTTGTGTTGTTCAGTGCACACGTACAGCATGTAAGACACTCAACAGACCAGCATTTCTAAAAGGAAATATACTTAAAGACTAGTCTTTATACTTAACATTATGGGCATTACTTCTGTGGAAAGATGCATTATGGCATAGAAAAGTTGAATAATTAGAGGAGAAAGGATTAATGTGCCACAGTACGAGGGGTTTTCAAGGTTAAGGTTAAACTGTGAGTGTCCACTGTGGTTAATGAGAGTTTAGGGGGGAAAAGCTGTTAGCATGTCCGGCTGTGTTGGCTTTGATAGTCCTGAATCTTCTACCAGAGGGGCGTGTCTGGAGGAGCCAATGTCCAGGATGAGAGGGGTCAGCTGCAATCTTGTCGTTTTTTTTGCTTTTCAGAGCACCAAAAACATATATATAAATATAAAACAGAAAACTTGTCCAAGGCAGTGGCTGCTTCTTCTTCTTAACTCTGGATGTCACCGTTTGATGCCAGGGAAGGCCCCCTTTCTTCATCCTCAGATTGATTCCTGTATGAGGAATCTTTACTTCTGAGCATCTGGACACAGCTGTCCATCGGAGGACGCACCCGCGGCGCAGCAAACACACCAAGAACGAACACTACAATCAAGATGACCAGAGCTGCACTTCCTACAGCCAGTGCTCCGATCCCCACTCCCATCTGATATCCGTCACTGTTTCCCTTCTGATATCCGTCACTGTTTCCCTTCTCGTAGGCACTCTTCCAGGCACTCTTCCATACCCAGCTGTCCTGCACAGCTAAAGACACAGACAGAACAGATGAAGTCTGAGTGGCACTCTTTAGGAAAGTCTTCAGGTCAGACTGATGAGAAATGCAGGACAGAGACCCTTTATACCCTTTATAACTGTACTCTAACTGTAAAGCCAGTTCAGGTATGACAGTCAGGATTAGTGAGTACCGTTCACTGAGCTGATGAAGATGTGTTTGTAGTCGCGGTTCTCTGTATCTGGGGTAGGAATTTGGATACTGGAGCTCTTCTCTCCTTAAAACGAGAGACACATCACAAAAATATCACTCACAGGATCTCACAGCTCAGTTACTGAGGAGTACTGAGTTTAGATTAGAGCTGCAGAAACTGAAAATGAGGCACGTTCACCGCTTTCCACATTCAGCTTACATACGGAAACTGAACAGCATGTTTGTGCATTTTATAGTAAGATCAGAGAAAAACAGATTATTCCAGATTAAACAGACCTAAAAGAGTGATATTGTTATGATTGAGCCCAGATTTGAGGTGTTTGGATTTGACGTGACTTTGCTTTATAAAACAAACACTTCTGGTTCTAAAATCTGATTGGCTGAGTCATGAGAATCCAGGAGTTGCAGTGATTCTGTACAGGGCTGTTATTATACAGGACACAAAGTGAAATTATACACACCTTTGACGGTCACATGTGAAATGCTGACCCGTGTGTTGTCCTTCTCCTGTACGGTGTAGTTCCCGCTGTCTGAAGGCATCATTTCCATCAGAATGAAGGTGTTTCTAATGATGAGGACTCTGGGCTGATACTCAGGAAGACACTGATACTGACGTCCATCCACACTGCACAGCTGGACTGTGGAGGGGGTATCAGGCCTTGTGACCATTATGATCACTGGCTGGGAAATCTGCAGATCCAGTTCAAGGCGTTCTCCAGCATCCAGCTCAAGATCAGACTCGAGAGCTTTAAAACAATAATAATAATCATAATAAGATTTGCATCTAAATGTAGGTATTGTGATATAAACTGAGTCTGTTCTACAGTTTCTCATTAGATTGAATAAATAACTGACTCTAAATGTAGGTATTGTGATATAAACTGAGTCTGTTCTACAGTTTCTCATTAGATTGAATAAATAACTGACTCTAAATGTAGGTATTGTGATATAAACTGAGTCTGTTCTACAGTTTCTCATTAGATTGAATAAATAACTGACTCTAAATGTAGGTATTGTGATATAAACTGAGTCTGTTCTACAGTTTCTCATTAGGTTGAATGAATAACTGACTCTAAATGTAGGTATTGCTAAACTCAACAGTAGCTATGAAAGAACATATCTGTGGGCGGAGCCTGGAATGATTGACCTGTTAACTTCATTTGTACTCACGAAGAAGATGGAGGAGCTGTTGACTATCAAACATCTCTTCCCCATCGCAGTAGGTCAAGTAGAAGCCTCGGGTAGAGTGGTTGACCTGAGGAATGGTCAGTATGCTTTGTCCTTTATTTACTGTGCAGGTGAACTTGAAACCCGTTTTAGCACCAGGACCACACTCAGCCACCTCCTCATCATTCCTCCGCCACTGGGTCACACCTGGGCATGAGATGTTGCAGTAGAGGTCAGCGGGGTCATTGGGCTTCGCCCGCGTGATTGGGAATGAGGCAGAACTGAACACGGGCCCTGCAGCAGAAGGACATGTGGTCATTACCACACAGTTTTCACTCAGAGAGCCACTGCTGATACGAGGATCAGTCATACGTACCATAGAGGAGTCCTAGAAACAGCCCCAGAGAGGCCGTCCACAGACACTTAGTGACCGACATCTGTAAAGACAACAACATGAGAAACAGGACAGATGAGGAGAAACTCACACCAGCCAGGTAGGTTATCTAGTCCCCCTGTGACAGGTCAGGTCCAGAGGTGGACAGGAATTAATCCCACTTACTCTGCTCTGTGTACTGAAGCACAGTCTGGATGTTCTTTTCTGAGGACTGTTAAAGAACATTTCTACATGACACCCACTAAAGAGACAATTAAACACTGAGACTCCTCTATAATAAAGTGTATAATAAATCAGCTTCTGTGTCTAAAAATAATCCCTATAGTGTGAGGGATAGTGAAACACCTGTCCTAGCTAAGACAAGCAAAGACCTGTTCTAACAACTTGTCCTACCAAGCAGGCGCAGATCATTACTACAGCACAATAACTTGTGTTTTTAATATTAATTCAGCCTTAAGTCTGTCGTACAAACCAAGCCTAATATAACTACCTCCCCCCTGATAAAGTGATTTAGGCTATCAAAATATCCTACTTATTCTTTTACTGCTACTGCTGTTTTCTGATAAGGTGGGTTGACGCACTTCAATGCACAGCGGTCTTGGGTTACAGTCTGTTGGTGTCTGCCACCAACCTCTTTTCAGTGACAGGCCACCGCAGGTCCTTCCTGCTGCTGTTAGACTGTAGAACCTACCCCTACACCCCTCCCCACACCCCCCGTTAGACCTCACACACCTACACCTACACCTAACCTACACCTAACTGTGAATCCTTTTCCTGTGTGAAATACCTTCAGCACCAAATGTGCAATACGTCTAAATGTTCTTATAGTGTGAAGATTTTAGGCTCTTTTATTTGTTTATATTGTTAATTTTATGAAAGACACGGTTCATATTTGTATCTTGTATACATTGTCTATACAGTAATTAGTAAGGTTAACCCGTTGTTTGTTAATTCTCTTCTTGTTGCTTCTTTTTTCCTGAGTGCCTTTTCTAACTTAGCCCTCCCTTTGCTGCTGTAGCGCTGTGAATTTGCCCGCTGCGGGACTAATAAAGGACTATCTTGTCTTTCCACCTGACGCCAACAAGCCAAGCTTACCTGGTCTAACGTACCTGAAAATTGCCCGAATCTGACACACAAGACAATCTCTAATATTCGCGTTAAATCAACATGTCGCCATATAATCTATCTACCTAGTTACGTTAACTAACACACAGCTCTTTCCTCCGCTGGAAGAACGTACCTTACGCTGTGACACAGGGTTTATAAGCTAGGCTGTGTTTTTTTAGTGGTTTTCTCTCAATAAATGTGGCTATTTTAGCATGAATCTTTCTTATGTACTCACGGTTCGTCCAGCTCAAGTAACGTGCGAGCACCTAGAGGCAAATAGAAGAAGTCCAACCAACTGCAGAGGCGCTGCTCCGCACTCTCACACCCGGCGACAGCTTTTAAAGGCTAGTTGGAGTGCGTGACGTAAGAAAACTGACTCGTGGCTGAGCCTCAAATGGCTCTATACTACCTACATAGTAAAGCGCCGCTGAAGTCCCTACACCTGGAGCGCCGAAGAAGTCCCTAAACAGAGGCGGAGAGTAAAGCTGCGGTGCCGCGGCTCCGAATCTCGGCGGATGTATACACCTGGAGCGCTGCTGAAGTCCCTAAACAGAGGCGGAGAGTAAAGCTGCGGTGCCGCGGCTCCGAATCTCGGCGGATGTATACATCCGGTGCCGCGGCTCCGAGTCTCGGCGGATGTATACACCTGGAGCGCTGCTGAAGTCCCTAAACAGGGCGAGAGTAAAGCTGCGGTGCCGCGGCTCCGAATCTCGGCGGATGTATACATCTGGTGCCGCGGCTCCGAATCTCGGCGGATGTATACACCTGGAGCGCTGCTGAAGTTCCTAAACAGAGGCGGAGAATAAAGCTGCGGTGCCGCGGCTCCGAGTCTCGGCGGATGTATACACCTGGAGCGCTGCTGAAGTCCCTAAACAGAGGCGGAGAGTAAAGCTGTGGTGCCGCGGCTCCGAATCTCAGCGGATGTATACATCTGGTGCCGCGGCTCCGAATCTCGGCGGATGTATACATCTGGTGCCGCGGCTCCGAATCTCGGCGGATGTATACACCTGGAGCGCCGAAGAAGTCCCTAAACAGAGGCGGAGAATAAAGCTGCGGTGCCGCGGCTCCGAGTCTCGGCGGATGTATACACCTGGAGCGCTGCTGAAGTCCCTAAACAGAGGCGGAGAGTAAAGCTGTGGTGCCGCGGCTCCGAATCTCGGCGGATGTATACATCTGGTGCCGCGGCTCCGAATCTCGGCGGATGTATACATCTGGTGCCGCGGCTCCGAATCTCGGCGGATGTATACACCTGGAGCGCCGAAGAAGTCCCTAAACAGAGGCGGAGAATAAAGCTGCGGTGCCGCGGCTCCGAGTCTCGGCGGATGTATACACCTGGAGCGCTGCTGAAGTCCCTAAACAGAGGCGGAGAGTAAAGCTGCGGTGCCGCGGCTCCGAATCTCGGCGGATGTATACATCTGGTGCCGCGGCTCCGAATCTCGGCGGATGTATACACCTGGAGCGCTGCTGAAGTTCCTAAACAGAGGCGGAGAGTAAAGCTGCAGAAAGTTTGTTCGTCAGCTTCAAACAGCTAACAACACAATTACTTTAATCGTACGTGGTGACTAAATAATTTGTTATTAAAATACAAAAACATTTAATTAGTAACATCCTCAGTCCTGTTTTGAAAACATTATCATCAAACACGTTCTCTGTTATGTACTAAATAACACAAAACACTAATTATAGTTTTGTTTACCGGGAAACATTCAGTGTCCAGTATACTGGACATTTGGACTGGTGAAATTAAATGTGAGAGTTTCTGAAAAATGAATGCGTTTGTTATCACCAACATACGACACAAATCAAACACTGAACTTTTCCTTTATTTACTTGATGTACAGCTGCATGAACAGCTCCTAAAATATTAAATCATATTTTTCATAATCACAATAATAAACAGAGCTTTTATCACAAAGCGTATGCCCTAATTTAAAGATTTTCCTTTCTGTTACGCTGGTTTCTTATTTTGTTTTTTGTTTTTTATGGTGTGAGAGGGAGTCAGACTTCAGTCTTTCACAGTCTTCTCAGAGTCTTCTCAGAGTCTTCTAGTGTGTGGTTATCATTAGACTGCTTAAAAACGCTTAGGAAGATTTAAAGCGCGCTCCCACCACGCAATAAAAACCACTTTATGTGTGGAGGTAGCCCAGCCTCTTTCACCGCTACCTCCACATAGCAACAGTTGTGATGAGCTCTTTCGAGCTCCCAATCCAAAACAGCCGATTTCAGCCCACAGCACCTCGGCTATGTTTTGTCCAGTGTGCGGCTCTGAACAGGGCGAGTTTGGAGTAGAAGCTCGCTATTCCCTCTCTCCGGTGATCGCATGCGCCGTGGTAGTGACTTCGCTCTGGGTAGCCCTCGAAACACACCCTACTGCGGTTATTGCTGCGCTGCCTGCCTCTTTGAAAGTCTGCATTACGATGGCTTTTGTTTCACCGGGCTGATAAAACAGAGCGACTGAAGCGCGGACGTGACGGAACGCTGTACCTGGGCTCCAGCGCGTCCAGCAAAAGCTGAAATCTGTCATCATCGACTACAGAAAACGGCCTCGTGTCATTTGCAATAAAAAACACCAACTGAGGCTAAAGACTGTGGCCTATGGGAGCGTGACGATGATGTGCTGGTGTGGGTAAAACCACCTGGTGTGGGTAAAACCACCTGCTCTTTCAAAGTTAGGCTTTAGCCTCTAACTTTATCCCTGTAGGCCGACAATAAAGGCTACAAAATAATAATAATAGCAATAATAATGTTTACAATAATAATAAGGCTCTCAAATAAAGAAACTTGTCTCCAAAACGGTCATTTTACAGAAGTTTTAATGCAAATCAGTGTAACAAGACTTTATTTCCCTAGTAATCTTGAGCCATTTCTGTTGGTCCATTCACTGTTCACGCAGTGCAGAGAGCAGCCGGTGTTTGTTTTTTATATGATCACTAATTATAATAAAATATTATTATTTTTATATAAGTATTTTATATAGCCACTATATACTCAGTTTGTCACTGAGCTTCTGTACCTAAATGACCGTCAGCCTCTGGTTATTTGGTTTGCTTGTACCGCCACCTACTGGACTGAAGAGTGAATTATTATTTTTTTCATTATTATTAGTTTTTCATGGTATTTATACAGAACTCACGTTTGGGGAACACATACACAAAAACAATGTTTACGTGTCAGAGGGCCTCGTTTACCAATGACAGTACTGAGTTTTGGTAGCTTTGCTGTCTATACAGGTGTAAAGGCTGTGTTAAATTGGGTTTAGACTAAAAAGCTCTGCTTCCCAAAATCCTAACCAGGTGTTCTAACAATTTTACCCATTGAGTGGTCCTACCGAGCATGCGCATATCATTAATCATAAGAGCTGTATTCAGTAAGGGACCGTCTAAAAAGTGCAACAGCGAAGGACCTCTAAGTTTTATCATTACGCATTGATATAGTTAAAGTGAGGCTAAAACTCACTAACACTTGCATTAGTGTAGTTAAAGCCTAGTACTAATCTGTTTGCTCTAATTTTGCTCAAAATTACACTTTCCTCAATTTTATGGGGCAATTTGTTAAAAAGATGTTATTCCTCAACCAAACCGCTCTGAATAACTACATTTACATGTCAAAATGAACTGAATTATGCAGGAAATTTGCAAAATTGGTGGAGTTTCCCTTAAACCACATGCAGTTCACCAAGGAAAGACACATTTCTGCCACAGCACACAGGAATAATGAAGCGCACGTGCAGTGAAGGCCACAGTTTTAACACCAATACAGTGTGACGGCATTAAAACGTTAGTAAATCTGCCCCATAAAACTGGATTAAAACAAAAACAGGAACAAAAGAACTAGAAATGGAGTAAAACAGAACAAAACTAACAAACAAAAACACAACCTGATCCTCAGATCAGGATCAGCTGACTCAGGCAAAGACTGTACATAAATGTTTTATTGGTTATATATATTATTAATTACAGCTCATTGACAATACATTACCTAAATAAAGTGTCTTTGTTGTGATGTGCTGTTATTACTGTGTTGTTCTCTCTGATTGTACAGCTGAGATAAAAGCACCTCTTCAGGATCAAAGCTGGTGTTCACACCTGTAAAATACTTCAACAGAGAATCCCTGAGGAGATCTACTTCACAGAGTGGAGTCCTGAGTATAAACACAGTCTGAGGTGAAGTACAGGCACATCACGGTGGCTGAGGAGTTTGGCAGTTTAGTATTAATGCTTCACTCACATTTTGGCTGATTATTGCTATACTGATGAACTGAACCTGATTCTGTTTGATGTCACAGCAACATTAAAAAATATCAAGTGTCTCAGGTTGAAACCGACTGAAGGCTCTTCAGGAACCACTACTGTGAGGCAGTCATACTTGATCACTGTGCTCATTTCAACGTTGTTCTCTGATAAACACCACGTAAACGTCTCACACTGATGTTTAGACAATTGGACAAAATCTGAATTTAGGCAGTTACACATACAAACACAGAGCTTATGATGACTTAATTTGAGCTAGAGGAGTACAAACACAATAAATAGCAAAAAATTCCCAAGAAATAAGCTACAGCCAAACTCAAACCTCCATAACAGAGGCAGTCATCAGACTTACAGTACAGTGATACAGCTGTGGCACCGTGGAGGATAAAGGCACTAGAGTTTGAGTTCATAAAGTTCAGAAAGGCACAGTCTAAATCCTAAATCTGCCAGAATTATCACTATTAACATCAGTCAGGCTTTGGCTTTAGATAAATAAACACAATTAGGATTATATACTTCAGGCCCTTAATGACGGATAAACGCACTTAAGAACATTTCATTCTCTGTCACATTGAACCAGTTTAGGATCCACACAGTATATTCATGACTGAAACACTGAGCTCTCTTTCAGTCTAACAGCGCATAACAGATTACTGAAGAAATGTAAAGTGAGAGGAAATTAGTTCCATGTGGCTCGAGAGAGGCAGTGACTCACTGAGGACGGCTCTGCTGTTACATTCACACACACAGAAAAACAACCTTTCCCCAGATGAACGTACAGTAAGACTTCAGAGTGCAGACGGCAGAATGGTGCTCATCCTTCAGAGTCCTTGTTACCCTGCAGGGTCTCCTTGAGGTGAGCATCTCCATTCTCCACACTCCCATTATGATCCGTGGTCGAGGAATCTCTTCCTCTGAGCCTCTGGAGGACTCTGTCCTTCAGATAAAGCACCCGCGGCACAACAAACACCCCCAGAAGCACACCGGTGACCAGCATTGCACTCCCAAAAAACACTGCCACCTTTCCAAACCCATCCTTACAGGTCTGGATCTGTCGCACATCTGAAAGCAGACAATGCAGAACACACAGCAGATGAAGCTTAAAGGCTGTTGTACACTGAACACAATGCAAGTAAACAGTGAAATACTCTGATTTTTTCCACTCAAAACTATGCACACTGCACTAATAAGGCCTTACAGCTGGAATTTCGTTGTATCAGAATATTTGTACAATTATCGGAGGAACAAAGACATTCTGTCAAAAATGTAGAGTCTGAGGGAGTGGGCTCATGATGCCCATCAAAAATTGCAAAAATGCAAAAAAACACATTTGCTGTTCAAGATATCAGTCAGACAGTGTAACTTCCATGCAATCGGTTGCATGTTGTGAGTTGCCAACACAATTTCTGTGCAACCTGACAGCTACAAGAAGCTGCTCAAAAACAAAGCTGATCTGGTGAAATGAAAGGTTTGAAAATATGTCCTCACTTGATCACATGATGCATTACTGGTGTTTCATGCATTATTGACTGTTTCATGAAACTTGTTACATGAAATTGAGACATCATCAGCATCAGTTGCAGCTGATTTTCAAGTGAGTTGCAGGACACTGTACAATATGCAAATCAAGTGCACTTTAGTTTCATGTAGGCTTCAAGCAACTAAACCTGCATAAAAGTTTCACTGTGTAAAGCCAGCCTCATGTGCAACAATCAAGAGGCCCACTAACTGGCAATTAGAGTTACATTAGAATTATCATTTTAAAAACAGGGCAGCAACTGCAATGTATTATAATTTTCTATTTTAATTCTGTATCTTTAAAAGAACAAGTAAAAATTGACTTATTTTTATGAAACCACAATTGGCCCACTTGATAAACAACTCTCACCCCAACTGCCCCCCCCCCAACCCAGCCATTCATTATTTAGTGATCTCTATACAATAAAATATGCTAGGAATGAGAGGCGTGTTTGGAGTTAGTAGTGAATAGTGAGTAATGTACCATGTGAGCTGCCTGTGATGAGGGAAAAGAGGTCTCGGTTCTCTTCTGGGGTGGAAATGCCAGCATTCAAACTCATCCCTCCTTAAAATGAGAGCAACATCAGAAATCAGAAGAGAAAATCTCACTTTTACTGACAGCCCAATTATTAGTAAATATATGCTGAATAGACAGGCAAGAACTGTAATAGCATCTCATCACTGTAAACTGTGCAACCTCGTAAGAAAACGTTCTTAACTTTAAGGTGCAGCAATGTAACGTTACAAGGTCCGTTCATGATGTTCGCTCTGAGACGATTTTAAGGAGGAGGTGCTGAATAACTGATTTTTGCTAATATTAGCATCACAAATCAACAAAGATTATAAAAGCTGCAAGTCTGAAAGAACATTTCATAGCTTAAATTATTACATTAAGGGGAATTCCACACATTTTCTGCATAATTCAGTGTGTGAGATGTAAGCAGAGTGATTCAGAGTGGTTTGGTGTGAAATGGTTCAGATGTCTTTACAGTGGTGGTGATAGGAACCAGGGGTCGCCATGACTACAACACAAATATAGACATTTTATTTACTATCCAAAACCACCAGTGAACCTACACGAGTCTTCTGAGTTTATATGGAATGTTGATGATGGAAAATAGTGGAAAACCTGAAATAATCAGTTTCCTTTGGGGACTATTTTGCCTCAACACCCTGCATGTATCCCTCCACCATGAAAGGAGTTTAAGGCCAAAATCCTCTCAAAACTATCATAAAACAGTGTCTCAATCATCAGGCAGTGAATTCATAACCATTTCATGTAGTAACTTTCTGTGAGGGAGCTTTTAGAGGTGGACGTCTGGTTCCTATCACCACCACTGTGAACAATTCTGACTCGGTAAGTTTATCTAGAACAGAGCATTTCACACCAAACCACTCTGAACCACTCTGTTACCTGTTCTTCAGTGGTCAGGACCCCCAAGGACTCTCACAGAGCAGGTACTATTTGGGTGGTGGATCATTCTCAGCACTGCAGTAACACTGAAGTGGTGGTGGTGTGTTAGTGTGTATGACCCTGTTTACATCTTAACCATTTAATTATGCAAATAATTGAAATTTTAAACGGCACTGATAAACAAAAGAGAGTAGTTGGTAAGCATTAGCTTAGCTAGCATGCTGCCAGCTCTGCTCACCACAGAGCAGGTTTGATTCTGACTAACAAAAACTTAACTGACAAAAATTCAGATATTAATGACTCAAATCTGAGGAAGCGAAGTTGAGCAGCTGATGTTGGAGGAACAGAAAGCCGAAATTAACCTCTGCTCTGGTGTCTGAAGCTGTAGCCTCCTAGCTAAGCTAATGCTAACTGGCTCTTCTCTCCTAGTTAACTTAGCTTAGCTAAACAGATCCAAACACCACAGTGCAGGTTCGATTCGACTAACTGCTCTAATATCACAAGTATCGATGATAAAAAACTTATTACAGCGAGAGTGAAGTTGACTGATCAGTGCTGGAGTGACAGAAAGCTGAAATCGGAGCTGTTCTGTTGTGCTTTGAGCTGTAGCCTGCTAGGCTAAGCTAAAGTGAGCACACAGTGCCTCCCAACACAGTACAGGCTCGTTTCTGAACCAATGATTAAAAACACCCATTTAGAGGATAAAGACTCATATCTGAGAGCATAAACTCATACAATGACTGGCGTTGAAGTGACAGAAAGATAAAAATAGACTTGTTCTGTGCTGCTTTGAGCTGGACCTTACCAGGCGACGCTAACACTAGTGTAGCTAGTTATCCAGCTACAGGTAAAACCCACCACAGCACAGGCTGTTTCAGTAACAGATGCTCAAATCACATCCATTTACAGGATAAAAGATCTGAGAGCACAGAGAGAGACTGGTGTTGGAGCGACAGATGGAATCAAATGTGTTCTGTGGTGGGTGGCGTGTATGTCGCTATTAGCCTGTTAGTGGTTAGCCACTCGTTTGTGTAGTTTTCTTAACTATTTCTTGGTTCTGATTCAGCGGTACAACAGAAAAAGAAACCGTAACTGGTTTTAAGAGTCCAGTCCAGCACAGAAAGGCCCAGTACGGCCCTGAGAACCTTTTGGTTCGAGGGTGGAAAAGACGTCAGTGTGTAGCTTAGCCTTATGTGCTGAATTTAGACTTTGTACTCACCTTCTCTTCTTCATTACAACAACCACTGTTCGGTATGACTTTACATCTAGTTTAAAACCTAAACAACACCTGTTCCACCCTCTGTAAAGTTATTTAGCAAAAGAATCAGAATCAAGTGCTTTGTAACTGCATTATTGACAATATTAGTTAGGTTATTTATTTGTTTCTGGGGACTGAATTTGAAGTTCAAACCACCCCTCCTATCCAACCTCGTCTCAGCTACACTCCTGTACACTGAGGACTGTGATGCCCACGAGCAGAACAGATTGCAGGAAATTTAATTTTATGCCATGTTAAATTATACCAACCTTTGATGGTCACATTCCAAATGCTGACGGACGTACCGTCCTCCTCTTGTATGATGTAGATCCCAGAGTCTGACAGCGTCATGTTCATTAGGATGAAGGTGTTCCCAACGATGAAGACCCTCTTCTGATACTCAGGAACGCATTTGTGGTGTCGTCCATCTACGCTGCACAGCTGGACTCTGGAGAGGTCTCCAGTCCTCGTGAAGAGAATTCTTGCCGTTCCAGAAATCTGCAGCTCCACCTTGAGGAGGTCACCAGCATCCAGCTCACGAGCAGATTCAGGAGCTAAAACATCAACAACACAAACAACACAGCAAGAAATAACTCACAAGATTAATTCAACCATCGGTAAAGTTGAAAACCGCTACAAATCTTACTCCGACAAGTGTGTTCTCTTGTAGATACTGTCGTGAGGTCAGACCAGCTGAACATTGGTAAAAATGGTAAAAAACCTAACCTTCTCATTAAGTTGACTGCATTTAAAGCTGGTTCAACCTCACAACAGCTGCTATGAAAGAACATATTTGTGGGCGGAGCCTGGAGAAGGCAATTGTTTGAGTCGTTTAGTTCGTTTGTACTTACTAAGAAGCTGCAGGATCTGTCGACAAGGAAAGATTTCTCTTTCAGCGCACTTGACTGAATAGGGGCCTCTAGTTAAGTAGTTGACCTGAGGAATGGTCAGTGTACTTCTCCCCTCGTTTACTGTACAGGTGAGCTTGAAATCTGTTTTAGCACCAGGTCCACACTCAGCCACTTTCTTGCCATTCTTCTCCCACTGGGTCACACCTGAACACTCACTGTCACAGACCAGAACAGCGGATTCGTTCAGCTTCTTCTGTGTTTTTGGGAATGAATCAGCTGAAAATATGTAAAACATTAAAAAAAGATTAATTTGGCATCGCTACAAGTGTATTATGCGTGTGAGAAACTTCATTTGGAAAACTTCAAGAAACACAGGACACAAGCAGCAAATCAGTATGTAATCTCGCAATCTACCCGGACAAGAGAGACATGGGAGCTTGTGAAGTTACTGTTTTAGATGTTGCAGATCAGGAGCTTTAGGAACTGTATCTTAATGACTGAAACTCAAATCCATCTAAATTATAATTACCCACATCTGCAAATATGACATTTTACATTGAGTTTAACACATTTATTCCTTCCAAACCACTGCTTAATTAAGAAATGATCATACTTACCATAGATTAGTCCTAGAGACAGCCCCAGAACAGCCATCGACATGCAGGTGGAGGTCATCTGTGGAAGAGACAGTAAGATGAGAAACAGAAAAGATGACGAGCAGCTCACAGTTTGAGACATCATTAAGGGGAAATCTCCTTCTTTGATGTTCGAGTTTGATGTCATTTGTAAACACTGTTTAAGATTCTACATGTTCTGTTTGCTCTCCAGTCCGTCCACAGAAACCATGCTACAAAAAATTTAAATTTCACTGTTTTTGTAACATAACTTACAGAAAATGAAGATGAGCAGCAGTCAAAGCTGTAAGTGTTCTGTACTACGACGTTTTCCCATGTCATTAGCTCGGAGTGGCACCTGATGGTGTGATGAGAGTCCCTTAGTGTCATGTGACCTTCATTACAGCAGCATGACCTACATGACCCCTATGCATGTATGCACATCAATGTATATATGCACATACACTGATGTGCCAAAAGTCATAGGACAGGAACTAGTATCGTGTAGGACCCCCTCCAGCCCAACAAACTGCAGCGACTCAGCGTGGTATCGATTCCACAAGTGGACAAAAGATGTCTGGAGGGATGCTAAGTCGTCTGGATCAACACCCACAGCACTGTGGTGTTTGTAGGTGCAGGATCTCTGGTGTGAATGTTCCTCTCCACCACATCCCATAAATGCTGGACTGGAGTGAATGTCCAGGCCACATCATTCGTCAGAACTCTCCAGAATAATCCTCAAACCAGGTCTGGACAACTTGGGCCTGATGGCACGGTGCATCATCCTGCTGGAACAACGTCTGCGCCACAAATGAACCCAACCATCAGCTCAAAACAAGTGGTACAGCGACTCATTGGACTACACCACATGTTGCCAGTCCTCTAGGGTCCAAGTTAGCAGCCTCATGAGCTCATGACGTCCTGTCCAGTATTCAACCTCACTCACAGAATAACACCTCACAGTTTATACAGGTGTGGGCATCCCCAGGCCACCCCTGAGGTAACACCACTTCATAATGAATTTACACACTGCTATCCCATCACTTTTGGCACGTCAGTGTGTAATTTATTTTATGTGACATACTTTTCACAAAGTGTTTCACTACAAAATACAAATCCAGGTACCAGTGTGCTTTTAAAAAATGAGGCATTTATTCCTATGAATAAGAATATGACTGTCTTTGTGACATTCATTACACCGTCAAATTCCACGGTAATCCTGCACGGCCGGATTTGTCTTTTTGTGACTAAGACATCCTGAAATTTATAAAGTTTATTCAAAACATACCAATTATGTTTAAGCTATTGTAATTTCATTATACAGAACGTCAAATTCATTACAACTGCAGCTAACTTGCTGTGCAAGTACATTAAAATATAATAAAATACAGAAAAAAACAAAAAGCCAAATAATCCTTAAATTAGTCAAGAATGACTTCAAATTAAATAAAAAAAAATATAATAAAAACTGTAATCAACTTTTATAAGTAACGACACACTTCAAAATGCCAGCAAAGCTCAGTGAGTCTGTATGTTCAAGCTGTATATAAAAAAACCGCGCCACTGCAGTAGCCGTCACGTACCGCCGGGGGGCGCTTATAACAGTGTGCAGTGTTCCACTCGGAACGTCTCCACAGAGCCGGTTTCAGAGGAGCCTGGCTATTCCCCGTTATATCAAAACGGCATATATCTGAACAGCAGAGGGCGCCCGCGTGCGAGTCCTCAGTGAATGGGAGTGAATGGCCCAAATATGACCAATCAAAATGCAGTTTGGTTGCTAGGCAGATTTTGCAGAGTCCAACCAATCATTACATCCTATATGACGTCGGGTATTTACACAGCAACTACTGAAAAGTGCGGAAGTACCGTGCGGAGTACCGCACTCTGGGCTGATTTAACCTGGGCACAAAGCCCACACGGTCCGAAGGACGTTGTTCGGAGACTGGACTTCCAGCGCGGCTGACTGGGTCGACTGAACTCCAGCAGGGGCTGCTCGGCTTTGTGGGTTCAGCGGTGTTTCCTCTGGCGAGACGGCGGACCGAGCCGGCCGCTGCCGTTAGCTTGCTGTCCGAATTTCCCGTTCCACCTGAGATGGTGCCGCAGTTAGCCTGCATTAGGTCTGTGCAACTACTGCACCATTTAAGGTGGAACGGGAAATTCCAGCAAGGAGCCGACTTCAGAGTCGGAGTAAACGGAGCTGAGCCGCCGCCCCAAGAAGAGCACGGAGGGGCTCTGGGGTTCTACCGGGGAGCTGCGGTTAAACGGCCAAACGTTTTACCCGTTACTTCACTGCTTTACTCGCTCAATAAAGACTGAGATCTGAGCTGCAGTCCGCTGGTCTGGGTGCTGTGTGTCTCTGAGGGTTCTGCTGTCTGGGGGCTGATACGGGTTTGTTTACTCGGTCAGTAAGATGGAGGACATTAGAAGTGTGACGAAAAAGTGACCGAAACTCATTTACAAACGTTTTTTCTCGAAGCTTCTACTCTCCAAATACAGTGAAATATCTACGTTTTGATAGTGCAGCATAACCGAAAACACCAGTAACCTAACAGAGCCTTTTTATTCCCAGCACTGAAACGAGCCCTCTTCTCTTCCTGTTTGTGTCTGTAACAAAGTTAGTGTTACTACGCATGCGCAAGTGCACATGTCCCGTCGTAAAACACCAGCTACGATTCATTGTGCTACCCGTCTATTTTTAATATTAAACAGTGTCGACGAGAAACGCTACTTAAAACATGAGGACAGTGGTAACCGAACTTCTCAGAAAACGGAGCTCGACAGGCTGCTCCGCTCTTATCCTGCACGAAAAAAAAGTGCGCAACAGGATCGCCATCATTCCCTGGTGAATTCCCCCACACCACACTGACAGCATGCCGAGATAAACGGCCTGCACTCATAAATGTAGCTGTTTATACTTAATTAAATTAAATTCAATTTGATTTTTCAGCAAATATATTTTGTATGCTCGGTATTTGTGCAAGAGGAGTACGGAGCGGTAACGACATTCTTTCACCGGTCGGGTAATATTAGAGCATATATGTATATGTAATGCGCATCGTGCGCTTTAAACCGCTATACTCACCTTCGGAAGACCGGTCGGTGTACCGCTGATAAAGTCTGCACTCTTCCACTAACGTTACCGTTTCGATGTGTGTTAAGCGACTGACTGGATGATGGGCACATGTGACCTTCCCTCTTGCGTCACCTGCTTTGCCCCGCCCAATGCCGATTTTTAGGCTCACGTGTTTCGACACACTGGAATTACCGCACTTCGTTCAGACCATGTTTGTCAACAGAATAAAGAAACTTTAATGATTTCTTTTACATTACAAAAAACAGACTTTGCAGCTGATTAAACTCGCCAGTCTGTGGTCCAGCATTACTGCAAAACTAATTTATACTGCATAGCCTTCTGTTTCATCGCTACACGTCTCCATCTGTTTGTGAAGTGAGAGCAGTATTTGTGTATCTTTATAAACTCATACATGGAAACTGAAATAAAACAGGGTGTGAGCATGAAGGGGCACTGTATTTACGACAAAGAGGTGTGAACTTAAACAGGGTGAACTTTCCCTACCAAGACTTGCAGCAATCTGGATACGTTTTAACCACAGACCGGTCAGTTTAATCAGTGAACTCGAGACGCTCCATATAAAACAGGTATAATCTGCACACAAGACACCCTGCCTGTCTGTCCTGTCGAGGAGGTTAACGTTAAAGAGGAGCTCTGAACACAGAGCCACATCATCACCTCAGACTCTAAAGCCTGATTCACACTCTTCACACTGACTTAACTCCACTGTCAGTGTTCGGAGGGTCAGTGGTCAGTCTCTGAGTGACCTGCTCTCCTGCTGAGGTCAGTGTTTCATCACTCTGCGCTGGCCTGATCTCCCCCAGTCTGCTTCTGCTTCTGTTTCTTCTGCTTCTTACTCTGCGGAGGCTCCATTTTGGTCTTTTTGTTTGGAGGCTGAGCCTCAGACTGCTCTCCTCCTTGTCCTTTCCTCTTCTTGTTCTTCTTCTTCTTTTTCTTCTTCCCTCCTTCCACGCCTCCTCCTCCTCCTCCCCCCTCCTGCTGCTGCAGTTTCTGTGGCCTCTTTTCCTTCCAGGACTTGTGGTTTCTTGCGGTTTTTGCGTTTCTTGCTCTCTGGGAGGAACCCTTTCTTCTTTTTCTTTGGAGCCTCTTGCTCCGTCTGCTCCTCCACCACTTTCTTCACCTTCTCCACTTTGGGTTTCCTGAGAAGAAACACAGGAGATCAGGTTTCATAATCATTCGCTTATAAACAGATATTCAGAGTGGTTCAGACTGAGTCTGGCGGTCAGATGATAAGACTCTGAATCTGGTTTATCACTCTGTCAACAGATTTATCACTGCTGACTCTCAGAGTCATTCACTTATCCTTTGTACTCTGTATGCTAAAGCTATAAGGGGAACTACCAGACAAACTCAAATATAATTTACATAAATACACATTTACTCACAATGACAGAACTTGTATCAGATAAACAGTTAGTCCATGGCTATGACAAATACAGGTTTTCATTTAGAAGACTATGTAGATATGTTAGCTACCCCATTTCCTGCGGAAAATGAACGCTTTGTTGACACCAAGGTGCCCGTGGTGTCAATCATTATTACTGCTCCCTCACGTTCTCTGTATCTGTGTACTTAAATACCGCAGTAAATGTACGATCTCTCTCAGTATAATCTGAGTTTATACAGTGAACTGCGTGTGAGTATGTGGGAGCAGGATATGTGTAGGAAGTACGGCTGTAATCTGGTTAACACCACTTGTTAACCACTAATATCTGTGGTTTTATGAGTTTTGTGTATGGAACTCACTGAATGCCGAAGAGCCTCATGACGCTCCAGTACGTGTCCTCCAGCTGTCCAGCCTTCTGCAGGCTCCCATCAGCATTCATGGACCTCAGAACATCCCGGAGAGGATCCAGATTCACCTCCACCTTCTGCTCAGAACAAGACATTTTCAGCTTTACCACTCAAAAATCCTGATTTAAAAATCTACAAAGTTTAGCATTTGGAGCTACAGTCAGTTACGCTTGAGTAAAACAAAGTGGACATGGTCATTTGGACAGTGAGGTTTGCTGTGAGGGGACAGTGGTGATTCTGTACCTGTGTGTGAACGGTTTTCACCAGGTACTGGCAGAGCTCCAGAGCCTTCACTGTTCTCTCATGCACAGCTTTGTTCTTGCACTCTACATGCTGCAGACACTGGAAGAGAAAGAGAAAACAGTCAGTTCAGCTCTTCCTATCCCACTTACATCACCATAATGACAGAGGTACAGGGCAGTTCTGCTCAACAAGCCTCATCATGGCTGACTCATTCATTCACTCGTTCCTGATTGTGAGTCATTCACAATGAATCCCCAAACACTCACTGAGCTGCTGACACTGTCAGTGAAAGAGTGAATGAATCAGTTCAAACATATTAGTCTAACTAAATCCACTGTTTGTACAGAGTGGACTGAGAGTCACAGCCAACACACCTGATCCTCTAATCGCTGCCTTCCTAACACACAGATTAGCTAGATGAAGGAAATGCAATTAAAACTACACTCTGCTTCACAGCTGATGGTCTATTCTTAGCTGGACCTTACCTACACAGGCTGGGTCTTACCTGAATGAGCTGCTGTGCTGTTTTCTGGCACAGTTTGGTCCACTGAGCTGACGGCATCAACTGCTTCACATCTTTAGACTGTAGAGCTCTCAGCACCATAACACACGCCTGGCTCTGAAACACACACACACACACAGAGCATTAACACCCACGTGTTACTACAACAGTCTTTATTTTCCTCTCTGTTTGATGTCTCTGATAAATGTATAAAACAATAACAAATTCAAGTATTTTCAATACGTATATGTTCAAAACAGCACATGTGAAAATCATCATAGATAATTAAACAGCAAATCAACAGTAAATGTAAAAAATAACCACAGCATTAATAAACATAAAACCTCAACAAGTAGCCAGTTATTACAAAACAGTCCATCCAACAAGAATGAATAAGTAACACGTTATTTAGCCGCTCAGTTTGGATGAGATGTACCTGCTGATGTTCTCTCACTCCTGCTGTGATGTTCTCCACTGCAGTGTCCAGCAGGTTCACACACACAACCTGTAAAACACAGCTGAGTTAAAGGCAGCATTAAACAGCGCAAAGACAGCAACTGCAACTATCAAATATTGTCATTTTCAAACAGTCTGTCGATTATCTGATATCTTTGAACATTCTATAAAGAAACCCTAAACCCTAAATTGAATTAAAATGTTTTTTAATCTTACTGTAATTTATTATAATTAGTTATTATTATTATATTATTATTATTATTATTCATCCCTAAAATCTGAAATACTGTAGGGTAATAATAATAAAAAAAATCACTAATAAACAATTACTGTCTGAGGGATCTATTCTGAGGGATCCTTGCCAATCTGGCAACCCTGAGCAGGTTTTTCTAGGCAAGTTTAAGCGAGTCAGTGGTGGGTGGAGCAGGACAGCAGGGAAAACCACTGTTAACCACACTGTCTCAAAAGAACTGGATAATCAACCCTTGTCAGTGAGTGAGGGGGTGACCATGGTTTACATTCTATCTGATTGAATCTATAAAGACATACATTTTAATAGTCCTGCTCCAAATTTGGGGAAAAATGAACTGTGTTAAGGTCCTTTTGAGGGTCTAGCCTTCACTCCCAGTCACCAAAGAAACAAAAGTGCCTGTATCTATTAGTGGGCTTTATTATGACATTAGCGTACAGTTGATTCAAACAGGACTACCATCAGTGAGGGAATTACAGAAGGTGATTCACTCTGGAATTATTACTTAGCAAATTTATAAAAACTGCACATAATGCAGATGGATTTAAATCCCCGATCTCATCAATAATCCCTCGGATTACAGCACCTTCCCCAAACTAATCCAGCTCCAATAAACACGCTGCAAATAAGCCATTAACATATAGGCAAAATACAGTACATGCTATAATGCAGATAAGCAACAACAAACATTCTCATAAGTGCTTATGATTAAGTGAGGGAGACGTGTGATGGTGAATGTTCTCACAGGGAATCTGTTGAAGAGGTCAATGAACATGTCTCCTGTCAGGGGGCTTTTCCGGCGGGTCATAAAGGAAGTCAGAGCGTCTCTGAAACAGTTAGTCACTCTCTCCACATCCGCCTTCCCCATGCTCTTCTCCTGTAATCAACATACACACATTTCAGCCATCTGACGGTAACCTGCACGCTGATTCTCAGAGGAAGAGTGTGTGTGTGTGTGTGTGTGTGTGTGTGTGTGTGTGTGTGTGTGTGTGTGTGTGCGCTTTACCTCAGCTGCCTGAGTGGCGTCTGTTTCCTTCATCACACCTCGCAGCACTTTAACTACATAGAGTGCAGCACTGAGACACAAACCAAAAGTAAATCACCAACACAGAACAACCTTTTAGCCACATTAGGACTATGTGGATTATAGAACCATGTGCTTCTGTTACTATACAGCTACTATATACAGTATATCTACTGTAAGCTTGTTCTTTGTACTGTAATTCCAAAGCAATAAAACAGTTTCCTAAACCCATGAGCTCAGCAGCTCCTCACCTAAAGTAGTACAGCGCCACTGAGGAGTCCCGCAGCTTCTGCGCTCGACCAATCAGACGCTCCAGCATCTCGTGAAGCTCCGCCTCTCGCCCCTCAACCTCTCTGCAGTACTGTTTACCGCGACACAGCTGATTCCTGCCAGAAACAACCACACACAGACCTCACTCAGCAGTGATCAGGGATGAGGTCAGCTGTGGGGTGAGGCAATATCACACCCCTTAATGTAAGGCTAACATATAATGACAGAAAACAGAAAAGAGTCTTTTTTTTATTGTTTTACAAAAACAACTAAAGTTGTAACTTCCAACAATCACATCTTACCCTCAGAGGACAACAGTGAGTAATGTTTGTTTATTTGAGCTCAAGCTATTTCTATCTTCAACTTGAATTCTCCTCTATCCTTACTAACGTTTAGAAAAACCGTCAGGCCTCTGTGCACTGGGCACTATTTATCAGTGCGATTTATTCAGACAACAATGCAATTAATTCAAGCACATGAATAAATGATTTTCTTGCCATTTAAAGGTGGTTTTTCAGGTGGACAAAATGCTACATTCTGTTATTCATCGTCAGTTCGATTTTTGTGAACTTTATCAACAACATGAACTCGCTGACCAAACACCGTCATGTCTGACTTTGGCGTGGCGACAACCAAGCTGACGCATCGGCTGACTGCCAACAACTAGAACTTTGTGAAACCCCTAAAGGAACAGTTTTTCCTCTGCTTTGTCACAGATGGTGTTAGCATCTCCAAAACCAGCTTAAATGAGACTCAAACTGGACTACAGACATCTGAGCTGCATGTGGAAGCTCTCAGAGTTTCAGCTCCTGAATGAAGCAGTGCAGCTCTTCACTCTCTCACACTTTTTCAACATGAAAAGTAGCTGATCCATGTCACCGTATGTCCATGAGGAGCAAATTTGATGAGGTTTATATAAGGAGCTAACATGGTGAAATGACCCATTTCTACTCTCCTCCAAGGTAACTTAACAGGTACACTCCTGCCGGTCAAGACAAGACAGACACTGACCTGAAGATGTCTGCGGCTCTGCGCAGGAAGTCCACCTCCTGCTGACCGCTCTCAGAGCTCATTCCGTTCTCGATCATGCTGAGCAGAGGCTCCACCATCCCCAGAACCAGGGCACTGCTGCCCTGCTTGGTCAGGAACACCTCCACCAGGTCCAACACCTGCACACAAACACAGGGAAATACACATTTAGGTATTCAAGCATGTGCGCACACAGACAGACGAGGACAGTTCAGCCACAATAAAATCTTTTAAAGATTTGCTGCTCAAGTGTTCTACTGGAGCTACAAGCTAAAGTAGCTAACAAGCAATGGACGATTACAATTATACCAATTAGCATGGTGCTGACTGCATGCCTAGTAATTAGTAATCTCTAACAGACTTAGTCATGGATTTAGTTATGTGGTGTTATTTTTGGCGTTGCACTGGTTGGCTAGATTAGCCTAGTAGGTCCCGTGCTAAAAGTTAAAAAAAAGATTTTTTTTACTCAGTGATTCCTTCACAAACCACGATGACTCACTTTAATCTTAAAATCCCGGACGAGCGTTTTCTCTCTGCGCAGTCGCTCCTTCTCATCCTTTTTGGCCTGCAGCTTCTTCTTCTGCTCTCCAAACAGAGTGGATAGGCTTTTGTCCAGCTTCATCATGGCTTCATCATCCATCTCCTCCTCATCCTCACTGCCATCCTCTTCAGTGGCCTAAACAGCAGAAGGGACGCAATCTTCACTCTTTCATTCTTTACAGCTCACTAGTCTTTTATAACGTTTATCTGCTGAAGGCAAATTTTTTTTTGTGGGCGGAGTTAAACTGCTGTAAACTACTGTAGGCTGAACAACCAGACATACCTAAATGCCTTGATTTTCATGATCTCACAACAACAACGGATTCAAAATGGTCTGTTTTTGCAGCTTAGTCTTCATATACAGAGAGTACGGACTGTAAAGAGTGAACGGTAAACATGTTGCCATGCTGCTATATCCATTCAAGTAGAATTACATAATTAGTCACACAGTAATGTGACGAATCCACACTTTTTGAATGAATTTCTCAGCTTATTTTAATAAAACTAATACAATGGTGCATCACTGCAACATACTTTTGTGCGCCAGTAATGACTGCAATTTCATCTTTCATCTTCTTCTGTTTTTAGTCCCCAGTCCACCTCACGTCTACTGAAACTACTGATTACCTCTTTCCCCAACATTTCTACTCTACCCAAAGGGCATACTAAAAGGTGAAGCTGTGTGAAACAAAGGTTTTAATACCCTTTGATGGCCAACATTTTTGAAACTGCCCTTTCATACTGAGAAGTTTTCATAACCTGCTACGAGCCACAAATGACTCAAATGACCCAGTCAAATCGGTATGGAACTGAAATTTTGTTAATTCATTCATACCAGGGCATTCTGTCCCTGCAGAACCTTCATCAGCTCCAGACGGAAATTCTGATCTACTTCCTCCTGCTCTTCCTCCATCGCCTCGTCGGCATCATCATCATCATCTGAGGAGTCCGATTCCTCCTCGTCCTGATAACACAGATTAATAAGACGTGAAGTCATGATGAATTTCATGGTAACATCTTCAGTTCTCTGGTGGCTATGAAGACCACAATCTGCTCTACCCCTGTGTAAAGTTTAAGGTCTAATTCAATCTTTCCTCACCCACAGTGCTCCAAACATCCTGAGATAGAGAGCTTTATCCCTGATTCTCTGGTGAACAGAGCTGAGCCAGGTTTTACTTCCCTGCAAATTTTTAATCAGTACCACCTTCCATCCCTGAGTGGTGAGGCTCCAGATATTCCAGGAAAGTCATTAGAGGTCAGTTTATGACATACAACTGTATGCAAATCTCCAGTCAAATTACACGTCTTGTTGATTCTCCAAGTGAAAATAAGACACATAAGAAAATAATTAGTGAACAAACTTAAAAAATCCAACTTTTTTGCAAATTTAGTGCACAGTTTCTATTTATTTTTAACGCATCGGAACAAGTAAAATCTAAAATGCACCATAACATTTGCACAGGACAAGTTTTGCTTTATTTTTTCCCAATATATTAAATTCAACAAACACACAGTACGTGTGTGCATTAAAATGTGCAGAACTGTGTTCTCTGTACAGGATATGTAACTTATTTAGACTCAGAAAATCAACTAAACATGAACTTTGACCAGGATTCTTAACCATATGACTGTATTAAGACTAAAATCAGAATTTTACCTCTGAATCTAAAAGCTGTGTTACATTAAGAGAGTAGAAAGAATGAAGAACTGTTCAGCGTAAAGCACCGTTATCAACCAAGAGTGTTCAGAAGGATCCGACTACACATTCCAGGTCAAACTGATTTGGGGGAACTAGGCAGTAAACGCCTCTGCTTGTTTCCACTCTTTCAGCCTGTACTGTATGCTCTGTTCAGACGGCTCATTTTCAGCAGTGACTCCTGACTGTAGCTTTAAACTGCTCAGTGTGGTTTACACTCACCTCTCCTTCCTGTTCCCCATCACCCTCTTTATCTTCATTCTCCTCATCTTCCTCCTCCGCTTGCTTCTTCGCTCCTTCTTTCTCGTCCATCACTACCACACCACTTTCATCCTCGTCTTTACTGGGATCCAGAACCTGAGAACGAGTTTTAAAGGGTTCTTTATAATCATACACTGCGAGATGCTTAATGGAAACAACCACGGCTCCGCTTACTCATCAAAATGCATTATATACACTACACTTATAAAAAGCAAAATACAGCTCCTCATTTTGGGTCATTAGGATCTGTTTGTTAGAGTCCACACCAGAGTTTGAGGTTCTGTGACAGTATATTTTTCAGTTGGTTCAGTTGGTCTCTGCAATGCTGAAAGTGCACCAAACTACATACATGGGTGCACTGTTCTCCAGAAAGAACCTATTTTTATAACTCCCTCTAGCCCATCATAGTATAAAATCTTAATCTATTCCACAAATATATTCTTTTAATGGATTTTTCTCCAATTTTCTCCCCAATTTAGTCATATCCAATTCCACCTACTAGCTAGGACTCCCACGGTCACACGACACCACCAGTGCTAGGAGGGTGAAGACTAACACAGGCTTCCTCTGAGTCCTGTGAAGCCACTGTATCTTTTCGAACTGCCACTAACGCAACGTCACTGGACAGATGAACGTGCATGGAGGAGAACTAACTCCCATTTCTGTTGGCTGGCATCGTGCCGAGTTATGGGGGGACACAAGGGGCCATCCTACCCACCTAGAGAGAGTGAGGAAAACTGTGCTCTCTTGGACTCCCAGCCACAGACGGCTGTAGCATCACCAGGGATCAAACTCGCGAAAATATATAATTCATGTCACAGATTGCTGCCCCAACCAATCAAAAATACACTCTGTGGTCCATGTGCCAAATTTAAAATGTATCGGTGCTGCTCATCTGCCTTTTTTATCAGTAACTCATCCAGCAGATTGCTGACGCACGTAAAAACAATAACTAATAAATAAAAGTTTGGTTGGTCCAAACCAAAAAAAAGGTAGGTGTAAAAGCAGCCTGAGTGTCAGAAGCTCCTGGCACAGATATAAAGAGACCTTCTGATGTAGGAACAGCTACAGGAATTTTTGGTTGCATTCCGACTTTCAATTGGCTATCCAGAGATACACGGTTTGGTTTATTAAGATATTTGGTTTATTAAGCTATTATGCTGCTTATCAGGGGTCATAAAACAATGACTGAAAAATTTTACATCACTCCATCTTCAAAGTGCAGGCTGGGTGAGGTGCGCGCGTGTGTTTGTGTGTATGTATGTATATCTTACGTTCAGGATGGAGCTGAGCGCTAGTTGGATGAGGTGCGTGTGTGTATGTATGTATATCTCACGTTGAGGATGGCGCCAAGCGCTGGCTGGGTGAGGTGTGGACAGATGCGGCTGAAGGCTGTTCTGCACACGTTGCGGATGAGGCGGCTGGGCTGAGAGAGCAGAGACAGCAGGATCTCTACCACGACCTCCACCCAGTGGGGCTCCTGCTCACCATCTACACACAGACACATATCACAACATGCAGCACCACTCAACTGTGACCACCTGCCTGGATGTATGTTCTTTATAATCGTGAACCTTTAGAAGTGAAGGCTTATGTTTACTTGCTTTAAATCTGTCCCTAATTCTGTGTTTACAGGCTGGCAGTAGACGGATGTTGCACTGTTTTCAATGGAGCCGCGATCAAAACTACCAATGTCAGCAGCAATACCACTGTCACCGTCAAGAGTTTAATTTTCCGCAATGTTCGCCATGAGCTACAGCAATGGAGTATTTTTCAGAAATACAGGACACGCAGCATTATTCTAAAACACTTTTAGGATGCTCACCGCAACACTGTGTGTCGCTACCGGCTCTGCACCATCAGCAATTCTGCTATGAGACACGCAACAACGTTTATTCTACAGCAATGTACGACAAATGTAAATAGGGAAGCTGATGTCTATATAAGAACATATGGACAAAACAGCCGTAAAAGATGAAAGGTAAGAAATATTGCAATGTTGGAGGAAAATGAACTATCACAACAAGCAGTTTTCAATTACAGCTATAGATATGTTAGATACAGTAATTATGTGTGGACGCATAGTTAAACTTTAATTAGTGGAATATATTTCTTTGTTCATGTGCTAATCAGGCACGTTGTTGGTGGGTGGGGTCTTAATAGCTACATTAGCAGAAGGTCAGTATTTCTGACTGGCGTATTTTCATGTGTGTTTAATACTGAAGTACAGAAAACAGTAAAACTAATAACTGCACCTGCTTCCTTCTTCTTCTTTTTGGATTTCTTGGCCTGGGCTTTCTCCATGCAGCTCCGCAGATCCTTCAACAGCTCCACACTGTCTTCAGGAGCCTAAAGACCAGATCACACACAGACTCAGTACAGCACACACTGAGATTGGACTGATATGAAGCTTCTGTCACAATGTTGGATTTATAGAATTACAGATTCTAATGTGCTTTGATAATTTCTTCTGATACTTAGTACTGTCAAGACAGCCTGAATAGCGCTTTACTGACTGATATCATTGAGTTGTAAATTTTTTAAAACAGAAGCTGACAAGTTCCTAACAATAAATAAATATTTTATATATACACATATATATAATAATTTCCAGAATTCTTTGGTAGAAACATGATTAACTTGCACATGAATGGAATTCTACCGCAAACAAACACTCAAGTGACGAACAACCACAGTTCTGGCTTCATGCCTCAAGGTTGAATTATTAATATTATTATTGTTATTATATACAAATTTAACGTACAAATATTGGACAGTTGCAGCCGTAAATGTGGGTGTGTAAAAAAAAATTAAGATGCTTTCTTTCTCATCTGCAGTGTGAGGTTAAAGGGTCTTTCCACCAGTGACACAAAAAGAGAGAGAGAGGAAATGGAGGCAAATGCTCATACACACACACACACACACACACACACACACACATACACAAAAACAGACATAAAAGAACAGAACTTACTCAAATCACACACAACCACAGACCGCTGAGAGTGAAGTAAGTGTACCTTAAACATCTGAATACCAACGATGAGGAAGAGGTGCTGGAACGCTGCGTGTTCTGGAGCAGGAGACTTCTTCATTTTCTTCATCAGCGTCTCCACCGACTGCAGCATGCTGCACACACACACATAAAATACTGTACTGAACTTACAGAGAAAATAATAACATAAACTGACTCCAATTTAAACTCCTAAAGTATAAAATAAAGCTGTTGCTCCAGTTTACTACTGTTACTCTAGTTTTGGATGAAGCACCACTTTTGAAATAAACATCTGTAAAAGTAACAGCACCTTCAGGAAAGAGGATCAGTTTATTCTGTTTTGCTCTATAAACACTCACATAACCCAGCAGTGGTGTGTTTATACTGGTCTGCTGGTACTTCCTTTTTAATAAACACATAACTCAGTAACTGTAATCTCCAAACATGTTTCTGAAATGGTTAATACTTTATTTTGAAAGTCCACTGAAGATGTTTTGTAGATACTCACCTCGTCTTTAACGTCCCTATCAAACATTCAACTGTGTTTTACTAAATCTAACCTTAAACCTAATCTTGACTTCCACCCAAAACCTAAATCTAATCCTAAACCTAATCCTTTCCATAACACTGGGGATAACCATCTGTTTCATCAGCGACATCAGTAATTAAAGCGTCTGTAAGAAATCTGAACTATCAAAGCGGTCTGACCCAGGATTGTTTTTATTTGGCGCAACACTGCACAGAACTGAACAGATTGTATTTACTATCGTAGTCCAGTACAGGATTTTCTAAAACCAGTCCCTGAGTCAGGGTGTTATATTCCTTACTATATTTAGCAGATGTGCTGGAGCTGGAAAATAGTAAGCTGTAGAAATCCTGCCTGGAGTCACAAAGCATGTTTCTACATAGACATCCATTCCAGATTACCTTCTTTTTCTGTCAAGATACTTTATTTTGAGTCTTTTCTTTTGTTTGTTTTATTACAACATCCATTTGTTTTGGTTGGCACTTAAAACAACAACAATAACAACAACAACAATAACGAAAGCATCACTTTTTTTTTTACTGTCTCTTTGCTTTCATCATTACTTATCATTTCATCATTACTTATGTATAAGTCAGCTCATGCTAGGCTGTTGCCATGACCACACCATGTTTCTCACCACAACATGGTCAGTCACATTAAACTTAACACTTTGCCTCACTAAGAAAGTCATCATGAAGGAAATATCCAGAATCCATACTTTGAGGCAAAACTTTCTGAAGCTTCCAACACATAAACAGCTCTAATGCCACTGACTGTCTCTCTCCACGTTCTGTGGTCCTCCGTGGTCCTCACCTGTCCCAGGCCTGCGTGTGCTCCTCCGTGAACGTCTGAGTGCTCCGTACGTGTGTGTCCTGTTTGAGCAGTGTGTCTGCGAACTCCACCAGGCGGTACACCCACATAGAGCCGTCAGCCATCACACCCAGAGCTCGGCGCTTACTCACAGCTCCGGCTTCAGCAGAGTCGTCCAGCACAGGCAGAACGTTCAGATGCTGCAGCAGACTGAGAGACAGAGAACCGTGAGAGGAGGAGTGATACGTGAACTCGGGTTCACAATAAATATGAAACAGTTTCGTTATCCTGTAACTGTTTATGGAGTCAAGAAATACAGAAGATCAAAACATTTTCTAAAACAGATATTTTTGAAATTGAAAAGACAGAATAATTTAATTTCAGTCATTACTACAGCCGCTGTAGTGTAAGATTCTCCAGTTCTGTCTGTAATTCAGTTTAATGGGGGGCTCATATCCACTCAAAGAACTGTCTAACATTTTTCCCAACGTTGGAACATTCTAAGTTTGAGTTGCGGGACACCAAAACCTAAAAAGTCAGTAATTTTCGGCACGTTATCAGCAATGTGTTCATTGATACTGGTGAAACTGCAGGTCATCTGATATTTTTGGCCTATCAATATATGCATTGGGCTCTAGTGCACACTATATAGAATATTATTGATATTGTTTGCCACTGTTTCTAACATTTCAATATTCATACAGCTGAATTACCTTTTTACAGCCCTGTTTATTGTAGTTACATGGCTGTGTTAAACAGAATGAGAAGAACAGGCTTAATTTTAACAGAACATTTTAAAATGCTGTCTGAAGTGCTCTGTAAATACAAGAACAAGCAAAACTGCAGGAAAGCATTTGTGAAAGCACAGAGAGAGAAGAATACAAAGATTTAAACCCAGATATCCTGCTATATTAGACGTAGGGGGTGATTAATAAGAGAATCTGTATAATGTAGCTCACGTATCCAACAGATAAGGGATGCAGAACAGATGGCAGCTTTCAAACCACAAAAACACTGAACTAATCAGACTCTGCCCAAGATCAGAATCTCAGTACGGCCTTCAAACTGAATCAGAAATCAAATTTGAACTGTTCTTCTGTTTGTCTGTGAAATAATTGAATATATTTGTATTTTTTGTTATAGAATTCAGTAGGACACACGACTGCAGTAAAACACCTGACTGTAAGTCCATACTATTCAAATCAATTAAAATTCACAAAATTTGTTACGAAGCAGCTTAACCGGAATCTGCGTCAAAGCCCTAAGCGAGCAAGCTAAGGCAATATCCTCTAAATCCACAAAGGGTTTTTAAGGCTTTTCCAACTCCTCACAAGCTTATGGATATGTTTCTCCTATTTTTGGTGTTCATCTATGTCATGAATCATCTCATCATCTCACTAATACAAATCTCCACACCAGTGATCCCGCTGTGCAGAAAGCGTGGGCACAACACAGCAAGCACTGAAGTCTGTAACTGCCATTTCACTACATTAAAAATATATGATTATTAGCTTACTGACTTAGAACGCATCCACATTTGGAGTGCTGGCTTATCAGAGAAGGTCTGCCACCTGATTCAGCTACCCCAAGCATTAGCGCATTTCTGCCTATTAGTGTTATTCGATTTACAAAATAATTATCATCGCTGTGTTCAGACTCACTGAGCTGCTAAAAAGCTGTCGGATGTTTGCAAATATTCCCACACAACTTTAAACTCTGATTTAAGCCATGGTTAATCGTTATGTTTACAGTCAGCACTGTTCTTCTGTAGCAGCAGCAGTCGTGCGTGATAGTGTTACTGAAACATACAGCAGAGCTTCAAAGATTCAAATGTGCATCTTTTCAAGCATCTGAATGTGGAATCTGAGTAGACTGTAGTAAGACTGTAGTACCTGTAGAAGGCGGAGCTGGTGATGTTGCGTGTGTTGTTGTCCAATGGGACCGAGAGAGAGCGCTTAGTCTCCGGAATCTCCGCCGTGGCCTTTTTAGTGTCGAAAAAAGCATGGAAGAAGATGAACCTGGAGAACACACACACAATTAAAACCAAAACGAAGTTAGGGCAGACACTGGTGCGTTAGGAGATGTGAGGAGGGATGCGGGTGTGATGTAAGTACCTGGCGATGCCCATAACAAGCTCCTCATCTTTCTTAATCTGATGGTTCTCCACAATGGATGCGAGTCGTGGAACAATCCACTTCCGGAAACGGAAGACACAGGTTTCATTTCTAAAGGAGTAAAAGCGAGAGAGAGGTGAAAGCCCCCTAAAGACAACAGAAAAAAATCCCCCCTCTACAGAGGGGTTTCCCCTCCATCTTAACTACAAGCCGCTTCTTCAACTACAGATTTGATGTCAAAAAAGATAAAGAAACCAAGAAAAACAGAACAAACTAACAGATCTTACGCATGGAGATGCATTCACTACAAACATCATTGATCTTTTTCCTGTATTAATCACACTTTTTTAAAAATGGCAGAGAAAGCAAACAGCTCTAATGTTACAGCCTCACTGAAAACCACACGCCTGGACAACATTATAGTGCAAACAGTGAACAGCAACAGTTGTATTTATATGCTTTTTAAATTAATATTTACATTTTTGTGGTTTTAAATAAGTATCATGAGTTTAATGAAAGGTCTCCATATGATATCAGTGGTAAAATGATTTTAGGGATTATTAGTGCTTTTTAAACACTGTTTAAAGACCACATTGAAACAAAGACAGTATAAAACCACAGTACTTTGTTAATACTATTGCAATAATATAGTAAAACAGTGTGATGATAGAACATGTCAGCCCTATGCTCTTTAAGGCTTCTTCACTATGCGTAGTTGTTAAATATAGAACTGACAGAACCAGATGAATGCTTAAATAGTTCTTCTCCCTGATGGAGAACCTGCTGTATACGGTTAACAAAAAAGGTACCATTTAATGCCAAAAAAAAGCTCCGATACTACGACCTCATTCAGTACAATACAAACTATGTTCACACGAACACCTGTGGAAGGACATTATTGTATCACTGCCAAGAGTGCACTGCGTTAATCTCTGCTAAGGCTGTGGTGGTCACTCACTGAACTGTGGTCTCCTGGCCCTCTCTCTGTTTGCGGGTGCTGAACTCCAGGCACTTGTCCGGCTGCGGTCGGCAGAACGCCTCCTTCAGCCACTCCACATACTTCCTCAGTGCTTTGGGCTCCATATGCTCCACAACCTTCCAGTGAGAGGGCACGGCTGGGTACCCCTGATGTGTGAGCTGGGTGAAGGCCAGAATGACGGTCAGCTGCCTGTCAGGCTCCCTGCAGCTCTGCATGAAGGAGTTCACGTATGCGTCCATCTCCGGGGAGAACTTAAACCGCTCTGGAAGCTTTTGGTACAGACAGAAAGAACAACTGACCTAAAGTGACACTTTAGGAGGAAAAATAAATCATCACATTTATTTCTTGTTGAACAGACAAACTTGCTTGTTTCCATGAGGTTTATGCAGGGCTAAAATGTAAGCGATGTCCAAAGCTGCACTGAAATTATGTTGAGCCCCGTCTCCAGAAAGCACTACATTTACCCTCACCTTCAGTGGCAGAAAGGGGGCATTCTAAACCATACTTGCTCTACCAGTGCACAGCAATGGTTTTCAGAAGAAACCGGGCTGAGACACGCAGACAGGTGTGTGACTGGACTCACCTGTGCAGACACCACATGCTCCCCGTAACGTCTCATCACCTCTCCAGAAAGAACAAACTGCAGCTGAGACGCAGAAAGGAGAGGCAGAGCCACACCGAGGAGCCTGAACACCAGATAACTGAGAGAGAGAGAGAGAGAAAGAGAGAGAGAGAGAATGTGTGAACGAGCTTCATCTAGCCCCAAGCTGCTTATCCGTTCTTGTTTAAAGAATCGAACCAACCCCTTTATTTGCACAAACTTACAGCAGTAAGGATCTGTTTCTAGGGAAACACTGACCTCTGCTGGACAGATTTCATAACACAGAACTCAACCAGTTGACTTTATCTGTTAATCATCAATCAATCTGAAAGGCTCACTGCTTATTGGTAATGCAGAGTGTGCAACTGCTTTGTACTAGTATTTATTTTCATGAAGTACACAGTTTATAAATGCCTGTTTGGGCTGATAAAAACAGAAGCATAGACAGTCTTGAGAGGGAAGATTACAAGGTGTGTTATTTTAATTAATTTTTTTTTACTTGAACAATAAAATTCTCTGAAAGGAACAGGCATCTTAGTAGTAACTACCACAATGTATAAAAATCAACTCAAATTTGATTACTTGTTGTTGGACACCGTCTAGAAAATTTGGGGAAAATTTGTAGAAGATCAGAAACACAGTGTAAATTAAGTACTGAAGCTACTTGGAAGCATAAAAATAAAGACCATAACTAGACCCAAACTGCCAACCAGGGCTGGTCATTAAGATTTTGAAGGCACTTGCCCTTCTGGTAATGCATGCAGTAATTTTTTGTTAACCAAATTTTTAATTTTTAATGCATAATAATGCATTTTAATAAAATGTACACACATGAAAATACAAGTCAAAAATCTTTCATTGATCCCTGTTTTAGCTACTGTTTCATTGCCACCAATAAGGGGCCTGGGAAATATGATTATATATTCGCACCATCACAATAAATAACTTCACAGTAAGCTTTTCTGAGCGTACTGGAGAGTACACAGTACTATGAGAACATTAATCATCTGCATGTTTTATTACAGACAGAGCAGAACGAGTCCTGTTTAGTTGGATTTATGCAATGCAGAGTGTGAAATGTAAGCGTGTAAACATAATAATATTCATAGTTTTTGATAATCTCTCGGAGGTTCTGTAAGGGGCAGTACTCACTGGCAGGGGCCTGGGGGATCTGACAGTAAGCCGCTGATGACTGCCTCCTTCCAGAAGAGCTCAAAGCTGTCCTCCCTCAGAGATACCTGCAGCAGGTCCAGTGCTACCGACGGCAACACGCTCTCCTTCTTCACTGAGCGGGCGGCCGTCTTTAACACCTCCACCAACCTGACACAACATAAACAGGGCCGAAGAGTGAGTGTGTGCATGTGTAAATCTCTAACATACATCCTGTCTTTGGTATTATATTCGTATGACACCATTGCCATGTCCATAACTATGCCTCATTCATATTACTGTACACTGTTTTGGGCTATTATTGTCTTATAGTGGGTCTAAAACAGAGTGGAAAACATTCAATACGCTCTTACAGTCCTAAAATGAATACGATATGTCCCCTAATAGACACTGGATACCCAGAAGCACTGTTGTATGCAGGGAGTGATGGTCAAATCCATGTGACATTAGTGCACAGAACTGATCATCACTCATGAATTCTGCTCACAATACAGAGTTGAAAACTTATTAGCAGCGAATTACATATTGAAAAACTAATCCCCTGTAGTGGAGTCCGGCAGCTGTGAATTATTTAGCTCACTAAGTTCAACATCTAAGCAAATACAAACCATGTCCAAAGATTCAACTGTTTTCTATGTATTTTGACTTTTTAGTTTTAAGTCTGTTGCTTACTTTTCAAGATCAAAAGATCAATATGTATGAAATTTGGCAGACATCTTTTGAGACCTCACATCCATTATAAATACAGGACATTATAAAAATTCTGCCCATTGTGTGCTCTATCTTCTAAAAGGCTTCTACACCAAGCGTGTTGTGCTTGGATCCCTATGATCACCACTTGTTTTGTAATTCGTAGACCAGTGGTCACTAGTCTTTTTCACAAAGCGCCAGTGTGGCTGTAGGTTTTCAACCCAATCACACCTGATTCCCCTCATTTAATCAGTTAGTCTCAGTCTTCCAATAACTGATGCGTTAGACGCTTGGTTGAAATGAAAACCTGCGCTACACCAGCCCTCTGCAGATAAGACTGGCTGTAGACTGTGGCTGTAGACTGTGGCTTATCCCTCATAGCCGTTACAGCAGTCCACAGAAAATCAACCTGTTCTACATTAATTTCAGATGAAAGCTATGTAGACGCTGACTGTCTTAATTGACAGCAATCATGATTTATATACATTAACCCTGACTGGCCAATAAAAATGACATACCATATCTGTGGATTGGCTGAAAAAAAGACTGAGCTGCTCCTGTGTTGTGTTTGCTGGCAGTAACAACCCCCACCCTTACTAAAATTAATAAGGTCTCAAAGCTTCACAGTTCACGAATTCACACGAATGGCATGTCCATCACTCTCATATCTCAGATGTAGTCTATGAATGAAACTGTGTACATGAGAGGGCTGACGGCCTCACTGATGCTGTGTCTCACCGTGGGAGGGTGTGTTTGCTGATGATGTTTGCGGTTCCCAGCAGTTTCTTCAGTTTGGCCGGCTTGATGACCGAGGGAAATTTCTGCATGGCTACCAGGAGGAGCTCTAACTGCTCTGGGCTGCTTAGGGCAGAGGTCAGGTCTGTCTGCAGTGCGTTCAACAGCACCTCCTCGAACACCTCCTCCGATGTCTGCAACACAACAGAACACAGCTTCACGAAAAGTGTCTAGCAAAACACAGCATGACAACATAACACAGCTTCACGCAATATCACCTAAAACAACCGCACCGCATCACAGTCCTACTGCACTGTGGAAATGGAGCAGCTTTACTGTAGCTGCAGAAAGACACTGGGGGGTAATTGTGAGAGTCGGGAGAATTCCCAGAGGGCCGGTAACCTTTTTCAGTTCAAATTCAGCGCAGTATTGCTTACCAATGTGGCAGCTCATATGTGAAACAGACCCCCAACCACCTGACGACTTTCACTGACACCATTCAAACCACCACTAAAGCCACCATCATCACCTCTGAACTAACCTCACCACTACAAATAAACAACAGATTACAGCAACCTTGCTCACCGTTTACCAGAAGGCTGTATCACCAGCACAGCCAGCAACGCTGTCAAAGGAATCAGGCCTAACATTAGTCAAATAATACACTTGCTAAACTAATCAGTTTTGTTCTACACAGTCAAATGCATTAAAATACTTCATGAAGCATCTTAGGGAACACTGCCCTCTGCTGAACAATCCTGTTATCACTGATATTACATTTATAAAACATAAATAGAGCATGAAGCTTTATATTAAAATCTTGTCTAATAAACAAAATCATCTATTCAATTCAGTGATGGAAAAATGATACAGTTTGCTGTTAGTAACTCTCTCTAGAAGCTCTACGTTTATAAATATCTTGAGCGTTACTGCAAGCCTACACTTAATAGGCTAACACCATACTAAGGAGCAGAATGGAATCATGATTTAATCGAAAATATGTCAGGCACACATTATCAACTTTTCAGTGAGATAAGCAGCAGTGTCAGGTCACCTCACTGAGGATGTCCACCATGGTCTTCCTGGGCAGCTCTCTCAGGTGTTCTCTGTACTGAGACAGAGTCTGCAGCAGCTTGATGCACTCCAGCAGCACCTGTGGCTCCTGAGAGGGGCAGGGGGCGGGGGGTGAGAGAGAGAGAGAGAGAGAGACCGTTAAAGGAATTATTTTGATGAAAATTACACCCCTTTCCCCTGATCAGCCAAGACATAAGAGGTTTGATTATTCACTTCTACACTGGTGATACAAGGCTAACGTAGCAAACAAGTAACAGAAGCGTATAGCGTGGTGCCAAATACATGCATATATCTTCACACGTTTGCCTCAAACTGTAATAATAGACTTGATAATGTAGTTTCTGACACAGTATGGCTCACTGTTACCTACAATCATGGACTAAAATACAGGCACATTTCAGAATCCAAGGCAGCAGCCACCACAACAATAAATGCTTAACAAAACATAGATAAATAATTAGAACATCATTAAGTACATAGTAGTACAGCCTTTGAGGTGTTTACCTTGTGCAACCGCATGGACTGAGACAGCGCAAGCACTCCGAAAAAATTCCCAAACACCACATTTCTGATTTGTTTCTGTAATGAGAGAGAGAGTTTCTGAAAACACTAATATAAGGGCACAACAAATTATTGCCCATACCTTAAACAAGACACAGAATTGATTGACTTCCTTCTATTCAGCGTCTCTTACCTTATTCGCAGTTTGCAGGTTGTGTTTTTCTTTGATCTGATCCAAAGTGCTCTGAAGTGAGACCTCCTCAAACACAGTCAGCACCTACAGACACAAAACAGCATGAGTGCGCGCCTAACAGCAGGAGAACAGGAGTGGAGCTTAACTCCTCACTCAATAGAAGTTTAATTAAAATGATCTCTCTGTAGGTGGAATCAAAAGTAGCATAAAAACAATCTAAATATAAATGTAACTGGCATCCAGCATCAGCATAGAAACTAATGCTTGTTAGACTCTACTCTCTGTTTTTGGGTCCATTTGGTTTAAAACAAAATGCCAAAGCAGTGCGAACAACAGCAAAGCAGTTCAAGAGCTAAACCAACTCAAGAGAATGAAATCAAACCCAAAAAAGAAGTTAAAAACAAAGTAAATGGAGAAAAACTTAAAGTAAATGGAACTATACACAATAGGTAACTTTGCTCATTAATATAAATAGGATTCATTAGCATTTTAAGGTACTTAGAAAAACAAATTCATCAAAATTTCACTTAAGCATGAATCTCTGGGTGCTTATTTGCACTTTTGACTCAAAGCATTAGGTTGCTAAAGCGTGGTTATGATTCCTGTGGTCAGGCTGGTCAATGCTTACCTGGGCCAGCGTGGCGCTGTAGCCGGTGCGTGCCTGCTCTCGAGCGTGAGAAAGTCCACTCACCAGCCTCTTCAAAACATAATTCAACTCATCTGCCTGGAAAAACACAAACAGACAAAGTTAGCAATTACACACAAGCTCACTTAAATACATTTAAGGCTACAGATAAGGTATGAAAAAGGAAACCAACAGCCTCTAAGAGCAGCAAGGAGAGTTTCATGTCAAAGCTGTGTGTCACTGAGTGCGTTTACATGCATTTAACAATCCGATCAAAATCGGATTTCTGCAGTTATCTGATTATTCAAATGGTCATGTAAACAGCACACTCTGATTTCTTAGATCGGAGTAAGCTCTAGAAATCTGATAAAGAGGCTGGATTTTAGCTCAGTAATCAGATTTCTCAGTGCATGTAAACTCTACCTCTGATTTCTTTCGGATTTCTCAGTCTGAGCAGGCGTAAAAAAAACAGACAGCAGTACCGGAAATAAGCAGCAGCATGCCGCGAGACGCAGCAAAACTCTTTTGGGGCGGCACTGAAACCAAATACTAAATAAAGGATTTAAATATTCTTCATGTTCTAGATGATTTAAGTTCATATTTTCAGGTAAAGTAGCGCGATGTTTAAAAAAAAAAAATGCGGCATAAAGTTTGAGACTTACATTACGTTTACTGCCCAGTTGCAAAGCAGAAATCGGATTACTTCAGTTTTTGGATTATTAAGTGCATGTAAACACACTCAATAACTATGTTGCAAAGCTAAAAACAACTGCCCTCATCTTTAAGCCTTTTTTGTCCATTCTTATAGTCCTGTAATGCTGACCATCTACTCAGCAACATCATCCATTCTTGCTCAGTAGTGATATGGATTTGATGCTTTTGAATTTTTCCATAATGACTCACTATACTGATTCAACTCTTTTGAACTGCACATCTAAAAGAATCAAACTATTCAAGTTTTGATTCACCATCCAGATGCAACTTCAAACCACTTTAACCCACTTTGTCTATAGAATTTTACAGATAAGAAAGACAAATTTCCATAGTAATCATAATGTATAACCAAGAAAACTCACAATTAAAACACTCCGCTAATAATCCATACTGCATGTTAGCGATCTGGAAATAACATCGGGCCTCATTCACCAACCGTTCTTAAGAAGAAATTTCTTCTCAAAATCCACTTACCCAGTTTTTACAAAGATTCTGACATTTACCAGTGCTTTCTATTGGGATTTGTTCTCAGGTAAGAACAGAATCTACACACACTCAAGAGCACAAAAAGGAGAACAGTTCTGCGCTTTGAGAACACGTCATGAATCTGACGTAGACTTTTTCTTAGGACCATTCACAAGAACACACTTAAGAACAAACTTATGAAAATACTGGTAAATGACGCCCACTGTATTGGAAAAACTCATGGCTTTAATCAGAGTAATTAGGTAACATGTAATACACTCTGTTACTACGGCCTATTTAACATGTAACAAATCCTTAAATAATTGTATTGAAATATGTAACTTTTCTCCTACAAAATACTTCAGTTTTTGTTTGATATGTCCGTGAAACTAGATGGTCAATATTCCCAGTTTATTAATCATATTTTTGTGATTTGGCATTTTAAATCGACAAACTAGCAGAAACTCATGGACTATGCAGTCGAAAGACAGTCGAAAGAGAGCGAAATCAACATCGGCAAAGGCTAGACAGCTTATCAAGACTGTCCTGGGTGGAAGTAAAAGTCAATCTATGAAGTCCTAATCTGTTCCCTTCACCCTTCATAGTGCACAACAAAGACCAGAAAGTAGTGTCGTTCTACCAAAACACTGGGTTTCAGCCAAACTTGACTCACACATGTTTACAAATCAATTCACCCAAACTATTCAGGAGTCGTTTAGAAAGAATGATTCATGAATCACCCACCACTGAAGCTCAACCCACATGGGCAACATGGTGTAGGGTTAATCAACACAGCCTCCGAGTTTCCCACTACAGTATCCTGTATTAAATCCCTTCACTGCACAATTTAGTGTTTTATCACCTCAGCAGCTCCTTAAAGCCATCCTGAGGGTAAAGCAGGAATAGCAGAAAACACTGAAACTTTCAGGGTGAGATACAGTAGGACTGGTATAAACTGCTACTCTAACAGCTTTACCTCTGGCTAATACAAGATCACCCTGCTTGTCAGGTTTCTGTACAGACAACAGTGAAGTAAGAGAGTTATGATGTTTATTAACTCCACTGTTTCTCTGTCCTGCAGAAATATATATGTTTCATCTACTCATTAAACTCTTCTGCTCATTTAAACCCCCCATGAGTGTTAGAGGAGACAGTATGTGTCAGAAAAACAGTAAAACGTGCACTGAGTGTAGTCCAGAACCATGACAGACACTCCAAGCTCTAATCAAGGTGGTTTAGAGTCATTTAGTGTCAATCTATATGTTACTGGATCAGACTGAGCTGCTGTGTTGGTTCGGAAAGGCCCTATAGCTCTGACCATGTGCAGCAGTGTGAGTGAAACGTCCACTAATGACGTAGGTTACGTGTAGTCCAGCGGGATGTCAGGGACACTCCGCGCTCTAATCAAGGTGGTTTATTGTGAGTCTAAAGGTTCTGGATCAGACTGAGCCGCTGTGCTGGTTCGGAAAGGCTCTATAACTCTGACCATGTGCAGCAGTGTGAGTGTAATGTCCACTCAGCTGAATGTACTGACCTCTCCACTCTTCTTCAGCTGCTCCACCAGCTTCTCCGCCGCCTGCAGCCGCGTGTCTCTCTCAGGTTTGGCGATTTCCCAGAACAGGTCCAGCAGCTCGCGGCTCCGCTTCAGCACCCCGTCCGGATCGCTCACAGCCGGCCGGACCGGGCCGCCCTCAGGCCGGACAGGGCCGCTCTCTAGGGTCCACCATGCTCGCCTTTACGAACTCGCGTAGAAAAACACGAGAGGGAAACACGTGGAGGAAGAACAGGGGCACTAGGGCACTACTTCCGCCGGAGTGTTTCTTTCTACAAAAGCCCTTCAAAATAAGAGTCCATGCAAACGGACACGCACAAGGGAGTTTCTCATAGACTTAATTAACTTAAACTTATAATTTCTAGACTTTTTAGAACAGAATATAATAAATCGTTGAACTGAGCAAACCGTGCGCCACATTATGTTTATCATTATTACTACAGGAAGCTGTAAAAATGAGGAAATGTTAGCTTTATGTGTATATAATGATGAACGAAGCTGAAGATGAACCAGCTGCAGTTAAAATGATTCTAAAACAGCTCTTAGACAAGCTCAACGAAACTTTACAGAGATAACTGTTAACATGCTCATCAGGGGTTCAGCTAAAATGCATCTTCTGTCATCTGACCGTATATTCGCTTTTTCCCCTTTTGTGTCCATTAAGGTTTCTGATGGATGTGCTGTGTAAATGTAACGGAAATCAAATGTAATATGTGTAACGTTAAAGTTATCTCGATTAACGCTAATATGTGAGCAAGTGTGGTAACTCTAAGGCATAAACTGTTCTGTGAGGGTAAATTATTAACAGTAAACCTCTAAAACTGTAGGTTAACTTAATAATTTAGTTAGATTATTGGCGGCTGAAGCAGTTAGCATAGATAGCTAACATAACTAAAATTAATTTTCTCCTTAGTGGATTTTTAACCTGACACATGGCTACTCACAGTAGTAAACCATACTCTCAATCCCAGAGCTTCTTCTAAGAGTTTTCTGTCCATTTTTTAAAACATTTGGCTGTTTTTGAGCCTCTGTTTCTGCGCTGCGTGCAGGCTATGTGGAAACTAAACTAACGTTACCGTTAGATTAACGGCTGAACCCCAACGGTTACAGTTTAACGGCTAAAGCCTTTTCAAAAATTCAAAATGGGCCTCGCGCTGTTGTGATTGGCTGAAATCCATGGACAAATTAAAATGTCTTTTTAAGAAATAACTTAATAAATATATAAATAAAAGTCCTTTAGAGTTTTTTTTCTGAGAAATTTAAGAACGTCTCTTTATTAAAAATATCTATGGTAAAAATTACAAAGTCTTTTTAAAAAAAAAATACCATAATATGTATGGAAATAAAGTCCTTTAGAAGTTTTTTTTCTGAGAAATTTAAGAATGTCTCTTTATTAAAAATATATAAGGTAAAAATTACAAAGTCTTTTTAAGAAAATAACACAATAAATATGTAAATATAAGTCCTTTAGAGTTTTTTTTACTAAGATATTTATGAGCTTATCCTACAGGAATTTCCTTATTATTCCTTATAGTAAATTCAGAAAATTGCTATAATACAGGATATACAGTATTACTATAAAATAACAGCACAACAGGAATTTTATATAGAGGAAAAAATATTCTACATTATTATAGATAATTACTATAGTTTACTACAGGATACTACACCAGTATTGTAGATTACTATAAGAGCTCTACACGAATTATATATAGAGAAAAAAATTAATACATTATTATAGATAAATATTTTAGATTAGGCCTATTACGTAAGCGTTATACAAGGCTATAGATAGTTCATCGTTTTGCATCATATTGCTTTAGATGCTTTTGTAAGGGTTTTATGAACTGTTGTGAGCTCTTAGCTTATTTATTCATTCATTCTTTCATTCATGGAAGATTTTGTGAATGTGGTCACTGTGTTTATCTTCTAAGTAGAGCGTTATCGTTGCATTAGCGCCACCTGGTGGCAGTCTGTTATGTTCGAGTGACAAAATAAGCCGAGCTAACCTGAAGTGAGATAAACAGTCCTGATAACTGAGCAGAAACAGTACATAGCGGTGAGAGTGCTGTGATTCTAGCATGCAGCTTGGTGTTATTTCTTTTCTGCGCTGTTTTTTTGTGAGAAATATTCAGTGAGCTCCTAATCTGGGGTAGTTTGTGTTCCCTCATTAGCCCTGTAGAGTTCAGCATTTTCCACTGTGGCCCCCAAAGCTGCTGGTAAATGGGCTCCACAGAGGAAACAGCAGATAACAGATAGCGGCATGTTTAGCTGGGTGCGTTTAGCGGCGTGTGAGTTTTTCCGTTTGTGTGTGTTCCTGTAAGTGTGCGTGTAATGGAAAGAAGAGGAATGTTTCAGCTTAAGGAGAGAGATTTAAAGTAATAAGGAAAGGGGACAGAATGGAAAATATTTCTGTGTGTGTGTGTATGTGTGTGTATGTGTATGTGTGTGTGTGTGTGTGGCCCCACATGAAGGCCTGTGTGCTGTTGCAATGCTAATTGGTAGGATATAAGCTTCCATTACTTTTTAGCAACTTCAGCAACCTAAGTTAGCTTTTTATTCCCCATTTTCTTATTTCAATTTTCCGTTCCACCTTAAATGGTGCAGCACTTACATTATGTTACATTATGTAATGTTATGTTAGAGCCGCAAAACAGGAAACCTGCTTCAGCTACAGTGGATCTGTTTCTGTTCTCCTTCATATTTACTGCTGTTGTTCAGAACCAGAACACTAATTATTGACCAAAGGGTCCATATCATTACTGTAATCAATCATAGCCAACTATCCACACGGCTGAGCGACAGTAACAGAGAACAGACGTACTGTGACTCTGTACAAGAGTGAGAAAAATAGCATTTATTAATATAAAGTACAGAAAAGCTGCTCATTTCATTTCATACACTTCATTAGTTATTTTGCATTTAAATAGTATACAAATAAATAATTTCTCTGTAAGCAGAAAAGAGCAATGTTTACAAACGCGACCGCTGACCCTCATGTGTCTTCAACTGACCCCAAAACCACAGTCTACATTCCACTGTCCAGCTTTTAGGTTCCCTTTCCAACCTCCGCTTCCAGAATCTAGTAAAAAAAGGAATTCAGATCCACATTCTGGTTCCAGTTCATGTAGTAAATGGATCCAGTTCCATGCTCTGATTTCAGGATGCAGTTCTAATACCAAGATCCAGTTCCATGTGGTGATTCTAGTACCAGGTCCAGGATCCAGTTCCATTCTGCCATTCCAGGATCCAGTCGAATGCTCCAGTTTCGTTCTTTGATTCCAGGATCCAGTTTCTCTTTTCTGAATCCAGCATCCAGGTTATGTTTTCTCGTATTAATTTTACTTCCACGCTGTTTTTTGTGAGAAATATTCAGCAAATTCCTAATCTTCTCTCTTTTAAAATTCCAGGATCCAATTTCTCTTTTTCAGGATCCAATTCCATGATCCCATTTCAGGATCAAGTTCATTGCTCCAATTTTAGGAGCCAGTTTCATGCCCCCTTTTCAGAATCTAGTCTCATGCTTCCATTCCAGGATCCAGTTCCGTGCTCCCGTACCAGGATCCAGTTCCATGCTCTGATTCCAAAACCCAGTTCTACGAGCCATGTTCAGCTTCTTAATCTCAATCTCAGTCAAATATTAATAATTAATATCTGGTGCTGGTCTGGAAGCAGCTCTCGGAGATACACTCAGAGTACACAGTGTCCTCCAGAGATTCCCGTCCATTGTTTATTACTTCCGTAAACACCATTATTAAAGCTGTTTTTCACACATAAACAATGCCTTGTAATGACAGGTTTCACAGTACATTAACGCGATAGTTAGAAATCAGATGTACACAGTTTAACCCATTTACCCCAAATGTAGTGAGTCAGCCAAGCCTGCATCTTTTGTTTTGCTCTGGAGCTTCGAGGCTAATATGGCTAACAAGTAATGGGAGCTTATTCCACAAAACTTTATCCTGAAAGAGTCAATTTCCGTTCAGTTTTATTTCTATACTGCTTTTCACAGTTGAAACTGTTACAAAGCAGCTATTTTATTTTGTGAGCTGAGAAACTTTCTTACAGTAAATTAAGCAACAGGTTACTCGCTACAGTTTCCACTACTTGTTAGCTACATTAGCCGTGTAGCTCCAGCGCTAACTTCTGACACCAACTATGTTTTGGCTGATCAACTGCAGTTGGAGTAAGGGGGGAGGGGTACATTTGATTTTAAACTATATCTCAGCACTATTGCCGCTCCTGCCCACCAGTTTGGGTTATAATGTACAGTTATGTCCAAGAGAAGAACAACAAACACACACAAGCACACAAACAGAAGTGGCCTCAGGTGGGTCCAGCGTCCGGCTGCAGTAGCCTCGGCTCTATTTGAGCTTCGTGCCATCCTATCAGGCCTTTGGGTGTCGGAGTGTCCGCTCAGACCAAGATGGGCAGGAAGTGTGTGGCCGTGTTCTTTCTGCGTGTTTTCCTGCCCCTCAGCGGCCGGCCGTTAGTGTTCAACCCCACGAACATGGACCTCCGGCGGTTCTTCCACTGCGCGGACGAGTAGGTGTTGTAGCCGTTCTCCTCGATGCGCTCTTTCAGTCTGCAGTTCTTTCCGTATTCCCTCTGGAACATAAACACATACAGAGTGAGAAACATTCTGCAACGGGAATTTTATTACTATAGCTACAAATCAGTCTGTACGTTCTGGACATACAACCAACTATCAGCAAAATACTTATATTTGGTAGATTTGCTTGAAATGGAAAAATGTGAGGTGGCCTGCTGGTTATTTATAGCGCTAGCTCTATGTAAAGTGTAGCTATATTAAGGCCAGAAACATACGCAACGGAAATTCACCAACATAAATGACAGCGTTTAGCCAACATATTGCAAACGCTCAGCCCTTCTGTACAAACTCACTGCGCATTCTTACTTTACTGTGGCAGTTAAAACGCTCAGTACTGTAGGGGGCGCTAGAGGACAAACCAGGGAGGTGGACAGTAGAGAGTGAGCTTCTTTGCCTCTACCTGGAATAGAAAGACGATAATGGATCATATTTTTTATGTTTATGTAAGCCGTCTTTGCGTGAGATTCAGCTCCTCGTCTGCTGTGGCAGTTTAGAAAGCACGCTGGCAGTATGAGACCACTTGGTCAGGTTTGGCTGTCGTCATAGCGCCCCCTGCTGTGTCGCTCAGAATGCAGCTCATGCTTGTATTGCATTATGAAATGCGTTGGGACACATTTGTGAATGCAACTACATGTAAAAACCGGCTGCATAACTCTGAAAAAGCATCTGCATTTGTGTACTTGCATTGAGTATGTTTCTGGTCGAACACTTCGTCATCAAAGGTAATGTTTTTAGCTATATAGTTAGCTAGCTACCTGACGAATGGAATTAACCTCAAATAATCCACTAAGAACGCAAATTTAACTTCACTCACATTCAGCCAATGCTTTCACAATAAAAGCATAATTCCACTGTTAGATGTAGGTTTACTTAATTTAACTGGACCCTAAAATATTTAATAAACACCACATATTTATACTACTACAAAAATAGTAATAATTATTAGTAGTAGAAAAAGAAGAAGTTGTGGTTTGTGGCGCTGATAAACAGTGAATAAGATGCGCTTAAATGACTATATATGTTAAAATTTCTACTTGGGAAAAATATGGGACCCTTCTTTTCCCCTAAATTTTTTAACCGGCCCTGCTTGGAAGGACCACCCAGCTATTAGCCCCCAGGTAATTTGAGTCTGACACCTCACTCTTAGAAACACTGACAAAGAAGACAGCAATGTGTCTTAGCTTAGACCAAGCTTAGACCTTTAGTGTTGCTAGTGCCATCAATCAAGGTCAAATGTCCTCGCAAGTTTTTAAAGATGTTAAAAAGATCATTTTTGCTGCTTTTGAAAAGTTTACATACATTTATTGTGCTTTTCTATGAGAAAAAACAAATAAGTATGTAAAGTTAGAGTTAGGGCAAGATCCAGTATCACTGCAGTCAGTGTAAGACCTCAGAAGTACAGTAATACATCACTGTGTGTGTGTGTGCGTGTGTGTGTGTGTGTGTGTGTGTGTGTGTGTGTGTGTGTGTGTGTGTTAATAACACTCACCGCTCCATACACTTCCCCTTTCTCGCTGATGGCAAGATAGTAATTACTTCTGAGCCCCCGAATGGCTACCACCCCCACATCCACAGACGTGATCTCCAGAATACCTACAACACACACACACACACGCACACACACACGCACACACACACACTGCATTAGTCCTGCACTCCAGGCCTGCACAGTCCACTGCAGCCTCCAGATGTCAGAGGTCTTTATTTCAGCTCTGAAAGCTAGCAGAACATGAAGGAACCCTGTGGGTTACAGCAGAGAACAGTGAGAACCGTGTCTGTCTGCAGATCAATGCATTAGTATTGCTCTTTGGCATGACCTTTGGCCTCCAGAAGCCTTTAAGTCAGGTTTTAGTCCATCATCTCACTTCCCAAACACACATGGACACTGTACCTCACTCCATGTCACCTTCAGATCAAAGCATTACTACACCTTCAGTGCATGTGTGAGTGTGTGTGTGTGTGTGTGTGTGTGTGTGTGTGTGTGTGTGTGTGTGGGTTGGGTTGCAGGTATCAGATGAAACAGTAAATCTATCTGTCCTTCAGTAAACAGTGGCAGAATGAAAGGATGAAGAGAAGGAAGAAAAGAAGAATGGCAGCATGACAGAGAGAAGGATTAGAGGAACATCAGTGAGCAGTGATCAAAGAGAGAGAGAGAGAGATAGAGAGAGAACTGAATGACGAACGCCCACACCACACGGACACTAACCACAATGAACCCCACACACACACACGCTTTTGTTTTTATACACTGTTAGGACATTTACATGGTCACATTACATATATGTATGTAACGGGAATATGTAAATGGAATGTATAAATATGTATATATGTATGTAATAATAACCCATCCATTATATATTACACTTTTAAATGCTTATAAGCATCAATAATGTCAAATATACACAGTAGCTATATGTAATAATAAATGTAAATATCTTTGTATATAGTATGTACTGTCTATAAAGTATGTATAGAATACTGTATGTACAGTCTCAATATGTCATAACAGTATATCCTCTCTGTATTACACACATGTAAGTGTCTAAATCTAATAACAGTATTAAGCCTAATCCTAAACCTAACCCAGAGAATTCTGTTGATGCTGTAGGTTAAAACTGTTCCTCTGGTTTTTCTACAATCAGAATATTTTTTTCCCATAAATGTACAAAAGACAAACACACGTTTTCACGTGCGCCGCAGTAATCGCAGGATTTGAGTTGACGCGCATGTTTGACCGCACATAAAGCCATATGGATCATTATCCGCACCCAAAATATCCAAACACGCACACTCAGAAGCATGCGTCTGATCTCAGGTAGTGGCTTTGAAGTTTTCTCTCACTTCTGACTGAAAACAAGCACAAACTGTACAGAGCAAAGCCAGTTACTGTACAGCCCTGCATGACGCTAAATCTGTAATTCACCACAGGATCCCTCAGGGCCTTCTGGGCTTTCAGAGGAGATTTCTGTGAAATCAAAAAACATGTCTGCAATCTGTAGTTCATTTTTATTTTATATTACTATATTTAATATTTTATTTAAATTAAATAATATTATTTCTTGTTGTATTAAAAGTAATGTAGCAGGCCAATACTCTTATTTCAGTTTGGAAAGCTTTAGGTTGGAAACAAAAATGTGCAAATCTTGAGAAGCAAAACAGGAAACTGTCCAATCAGGATTGTTTTGTCTGTGGTAAGTCAAGCGAGCTCTCCCATTGGTTAGGACAGGGGTAGGCAACATGGCTCCAGAGCCATATGCGGCTCTTCTACTAGCTGTAGTCTTTATCTTCACCAACTTCACTAATTCACCAACTTTTGACCCTGAAGGTTGGCGTCCAGACTGCTGGTCAGATAGCACTGCAGCAATGCAGACAACAATCTCACCTAGCTAATAGCTAACAAAAAGGCAAAGACTTACTAGCATTTATAATCACTCCAGCTGGTTTGCTGATAATCTGCAACGAAAACTCTCAAACACTAAAAAGTCTCAAAGCTGAAGTCAGTTACTCACTCACCAGAAGCGACTTCAGCCTTGAACGTCGAGAGACATTTTACAAGAAAATATTCTACTTTTGTGGAAAAGTTTCCTGCTGGAGATGCGAGAAAATCAGCTATAGCTGAGCTGAAGCTTAAAGCAGAGTAAAGTAAGTCTGTGTTCGTGTTTATATTATGTCTTTTAGCCTATACTAGTACATTAGCACATACTGAGACACATTTTCAGTGAAGATGGTAAAATGGACATAAAATGTTGTGGCTCCCAAGGTGGTTTGATTTGTGTTGAAAGGACAACATGGCTCTTCTTAACGTTTGGGTTGCGACCCCTGAGTTAGGACTTCATGAGCCGAACTGAAGGCCTTACACATTAGATTAACCACCAACATAATTAGGCAGTGAACTCGGCCACTCACATTTTGGTTTACAATGGGACCAATTCCGTGAGAAGTCACTCTAGTTCTTCTGGAGGTTCTAGATACATCACTGTCTGTGAATATGAGCCATAGTCTAAGCAGTGTTCCAGTTAGTCGTTAGAAATGGAAAACAGTGGCGGCAGCTCTATGTCAGGACTCGTTAGTGAAACTGATACAAGCTCAAATATACATTAAAGTCTGTTACGAGCTTCAAATGAAACATATGGAGTATGTTTTACTTCAAAAAAGATTTTAACAGACAAAAATGCTCATGAGAATCACAGTTAGTTCATCACTAACATACTACTTGAGTCCCATAGGGGTGGTAGCAGAAATTAGCACTATCTTGACTGTGTTTTGACATTTATGCCGTGAACTGAAAGTCCTGCTCTGCTAGTCATGGTTTACCACTGTTTTCAACACACTGAACACAAAAAACTTACATGTGTGATACAGAGAGAGAGAGAGAGAGAGAGAGAGAGAGAGAGAGACAGTGAAAAGTTGTGTTTATCGTGTTAATCTTTGCGGCTGATGCAGAATTCCCGAAAATTTAAACGCTCTTTATTTGTCGGGGAAATTAACATTTTCTCCATTTGCTGTGTGTGTATGTGTCTGACTCGCTATGCTCTGTTAGCTGTGAGTAAATGTGGCGTGGATGAACTCACACTTTGCCTTGTTATGTGTATGTGCATGTCAGCCACACTTTTTCCATAAAGCTCTGCCAAAACTTCACCGCATTTTACAGCCAAGGCGATGATGTGCTATTTTGAGGGGAAAACAAAAGGAACAGTCGTAGTTTACAGAGCAGAGTGATGTGTATTTTGGGTTTTCAGATGCGTCAGGATAAGCGAGAAGTGCTTTGTGTTCATCATTGCATGTGACTGAGCGTTAATTATACTTTGTTACTTCAGCCAGTCCTTGTAAACATGACAGATTCTGCTGTGGTGACCTTAATTTTGCAGCACTCTCTACAACACGCCAGAATGCCCTGTTTATCCACTCCAAACCCCTTTCATCTATCCTAAATGCCTTTAAATTCACTTTAATCTCACTACACCCTTCCTTAATCGCCTTTATATCCACCCCAAACTCCCTACACTTGGGTCTAAGGCACTTTATATCCATCCTAAACTACATATATCACTTCTAAATCCCTTTATACCAACCCTAAATCACCTACACCCAGCCTAAACCTGTATACCCAGTCGAAAGTCCTTTATATCCACTCTAAACTTCCTATACTTGGCCTGAAGCATTTACACCCACTATATAACCAGTCTTAATGCCTTTATAACCACCTTAAACCCCCTACATTTGGTCCTAATGCCCCTTAAATCCATCCTAAACCACATACACCTGGGCAAAATGCCGACTATATCCACTCTAAAAGCCTTAAATCTGGTTATTTACCCTTTATATCCACCCAAAACTATCAACACACAACCTAAGTGCCCTTCAGATGCACTTAAAACTCCCTATACCTGGCCTAAAGCCTTTAATAACTACCCAAAGCTCCCTGTACCCAGCCTAAAGCCAGCCCAATGACCTTTATATCTACCTTAAACCCTCTACACCCAGCCTGTACGCCCATTATCCCCATCTAAAACCTCCTACACCCAGCCTAAAGCCCTTTATGTCTACCCTAGACTGCCCGGCCTTGGGCCACATAAAGCACATTTTATAAACTGACAAAATTCTGCCCCCCACTCCTTACCCAAAACACAAACAGAGGACCACAGCCCCCAATTTGAAAATGGCTGCCTTATATCCTAAACACCCTACACCCTGCCTAAATGCCCTATAAATACCCTTTGGTTGATGCCTTAAAATGCTGCCTATGTAGACGGGGGAGATAATGAGACTTGTCATTGAAATACTATCAAATCCAGGCTTGCCTACAACATCAGAAACCGTCAGATAGGGCTAAACCACATTTAAGTGTTCAACAGTTTTATCCTCCAGAAAACATGCCCACTGTAAAATTACCCAAAAGGCCTTGGTGGGGCATGCACGTGGGACAGTTTTGCAATGGAATCCCCATAAAATCTGCGGGTGTCTGCGGCTGTGGTGTCTGACGCCAGATCCCACCAAAGATCAACAGCCCACCAGGCAACTCCCAGGATGCTAAACGCTCTCAGATCCCTGAGGAGCAGCTCTATACAAGACCAGATACAGCGCACATAATCATCCACTCGCACATCACTGCCGCACCAATCACAGACTCCAACACTTCCACACCTACCTGGAGCTGTGTGCAGCGAGGGTCTCGCTAGTCCTGCAAATTATATCGAACTACGGCTTAATTGAATGCTAATAGTCTAAAGACAGTTAGCCCCAGTTTTCCACATTACACTGTCAGTAGGGATCCTTCACTTCTTTTGGGACTTTTTAATGGAGAGAACTCGCTGTACTTGGGAATCTTGTGATGATTAGCCGTCCCACACTCTCGGATAAGGTTCAAAGGTGACTGGGCCTTTTCCATAGCTGCCCAAGACAAATTATTCTTCTGTTTTTCATAAAGGAATCCTTCACAAAAGACACTTTTAAGTCAAATTTAGAAGCCTATTTGTTCTCTCAGGCCTCTGGGTCCATTTAAAGACTGTGATTTTAATCTGTGCTCTTTTGTTTTTATTTGATCTGTTTTTATCTGCATGCTGTTTTCCTTGTTGAAGTTATTGGTGGTTATT